AACAGATGTGGAAGTCAGAGATTGTGACAAGGCCGATTCGCCTGCACTGCGCCATAAAAATACAGCCACGTTCAAAGCCAGCCAAGCCACTTTCCAACATATCATTTAGGGCCTAGTGCTGAACCCAGGGCTTATCCCGATGATCGATTGATAGTTTTCTCACATCTGTCCACAAGGCATGCTCCAGAGAGGATGTAATAGGCTTGGTATGAGTGATGTGGAACCATTTAGCCCCCAAAGTAAAGGTTGTTCAGCTGAGGTATTACTAAAGACATTCTTGAAGACAGCAGTGCAAACGTGGGGTTGTAATAAAATGTTGCAAACCAATAAATCAGGAGGGATACAGCACTAACTCAGATGGTTTTCTGTGTCTTAAGATGTGGTACATTGTGTAACAGAGACAGTCCTGGTCGTATTTTGTCCAGGACAGGTGCAAAACAAAGTCTCAATTATAAGTAATGGCGATGACTGCATGCAAAGTTTATAGACTGTCATTTAACCGGGATATTCCCGTTGATACTTAGAATATCTTTTTTCAGCGTAGTCCTTGCCCAGAGGGGTGAGTCTATTGTACATGGAAAGAATAAATAGCAGCTAAAGTGAGTAAGGTGAGCTGCCTGTGGACACATTATGATACAGTTTGCATATATTACTATGATGGATGTACACGTTCATCACCCTGCACATTGATTGATGGATGAATCATGCACATGGCATTGAGCAGGTTTTGAGCAGAAGACTAGTAAGAAATGTTATGACTGAATATCCCAAACGTCAATGAAAGCAAGAATTAGTAGTAATGTGAATTCAATCATACATAGTCCATAGAGCATACACAAAAAACCAAAACACAATTTTTCCCCTTAAAGGGGAGATCAAACTCACAATTGGGTCTCAGAACTTAAAGGGGTATTCCATGTCTTATCTTTTATTCTATCATTCTTTTAATTTTAGGGGTGACAGTGGCTGGAGCACCCTCTGAAAGACCAAGGCATGCCATAGAGGAGTAAGAGGATCAGTTAGGGGCTGGTGCTGTGTGAACTGTGATCTCTGACCCAGAAGTGGATTAAGGGGTTGAAAATGGATGGATGGATCTTTTATTCTGATAAATAATATACTGTCCAGGTAGGGACAAACAACAAAGGGTCTTTTCTCAGCCTTCTTAGATTATTTCTTATTCTGCTTATTTTGAGTTGATTTGAAACACAGTAAATAAAAATAAAGAATTTAGAGCTGCATAGCTGGTTTGGCATTAATCCATGACTGAATGTAATAAAATCGCGAATTATAATGATTTCTTTGGCTGAAGCCTTTAAAGGCTTATTTTACACACAGTCTGTTGTGTGCGAGGAGCAGTCATGCAGCGGAGATATAAATAATTCTCTTCTAATGTGGTCTAATTCTATCTCTGTGGGAAACACAAACTGTCAGGAGCCCGTCAGCCAAACGCACCAACACCATGAACGCTGTACTTTTGCCAACATGGTCTCCTGGCTCATGGTGCATAAAGAACATACAGACCCGCCTGCGGTCAATGGATTCGTGCCATTGCTCTGAAAACTTTAACTACATTTGATATTACTGTACGTTATAATAATTTTAAAAACTATCATTGTACTTCTGAAGGCGCTAGTTATTACAGGGTACAACAAATTAGTATTAGGAGGTGCTTGAAAGTCAACTAATTACAAAGTTTCTTGATATCTACACTATTATTATTTTTTTTATTAGGTTGAAAACACAATGTGTTTTTTTCACTGGATTGGTGAAAGTCTGTATAAAAATCATGGTAATGGTCTGTGTTTGTGATGGGAGATGGCCTAGTTTGGACATGCACTCCTCCCTGAGGGGGGTTCCATTATACATGCCTCAATCCTGTGGGTGTTTTTTTTTTTGCTGAAATTATGTATAAAGAGAGTCCTAATCCCCAACCTTGAACCATCTGCGGGGGATGAACCTTAAAACACAGATTAGACAACACAAAGCCCAGCAAATAAAGGACTAACAATAGTAAATGGGATTTGAAGCACGCTGCAGGCAGAAAGAATGACCTTTAAGCTTGAATCACAAATCTTGCAATAAATTGGTGCGCCTTTATTTGTTGTTGTAAATCAGGACATTTGTTTATGCAAAGCTGCGCAACGAACTCAAGGGAGAGCTGAGATTTTGAAAGCAACCTACAAGACAACCCACAGACATATGCCTGCCTGAGTCACCTGACCACGCACTGGCGAGCATTTGTTGTGATTCGGCCGTTTGAGACGGAGTCAGATGCACGTGTCATGTCAGCTGTGTGCTCTATGTGTGGGTGCTCACGGGAGAGAAGGGATGCCAAGATCATTCTGTTAATCAGCAATTCTGACAGTCACTATATACTTGTGACAATCAAGAAACGATGATCAATATATTGGCAAAATTAGGTCAAACAAATTTCCTTGCAAAATAAGTTAACCTAAACAAATCTTTATATGATTAGGTCAACTTTGTCCATTACAGAGTTGTAGTCACAGACTTGAAGAATGTGTCAAAAGCGGTGTTAAACTAACTAAAGCATATCTTCTTGGTCTTACACAAAGTGCATTTTATGACCTTTTCACAACTTCATCTACCTTTATACAAGATGAAACTAGGGTTTTTGGGGATGTAAAGTTGACTAGTTCTATTGTCGAATTTGTGCTAAGTTCACCCATTTGAAATTTGAATGGTTTTGACAGCGTCTGTTTGGTCTTCCATTTGGTCTAAATGTCAACATGTGGCCCTTGATGGAACATGGGGTTCACTGTTGTTCATTCATAGACAATAATTTTGAATCATCATAAAACTGTCATACATTTTCTCAATCATTATTCGTGAAAAAATCCTTATTATCCTCCATTGTACCTTCCTATGGAACAATTCATTTCATATTTATAGGGAAAGTTCACCTCAAACTCAAACATAGGTATACAATATCACTATTTTCTTAATGTTTTGCTGTTGTACAAGTACAAAGTTTTAGTTTTAAGTATTGCTTGCAAAATTATTACTATTACATTGTGTGCAGCTGAGCATGCTGGGTTATCATAGTGATGCCTCCAAACTCATGCATTTCACCAATAATCCTATACATTAGGGTTTTTTTAACATGATAATATTCTACAGCAACTGCCAATGGACAAATCTATTGAAACAACATTTAGGCTAGTAACCCTTCCATCAGTTATAAATTAGATCAATTGGATTGTGTACATATTGTAAGCACAGATGTGGCACTTAATTGGACACGACATGATTGCAGAGAGCAGTAACATTACTTAATCAAATCAGCATCCCATCATCTCAGCAGGTATTGAATGCATAAAGTATCTGCTTGTGGCCAAAACTAAACCTAATGCAAGAGTAAAAAAAATGACATGCTGGAAGAAGTTTGCCTTGCAGCTTCTGAAGGCAGCAGCACTAATGGCTTGTCAGGGGGCAGCGTGAATAGGCAACAAATGGCCACAGTACCGCTATGTGACCAAGCAAAGGAATAATCCACACATGAAATCACAGCACTCTACACGTATAAGTATCACACATCCATTCAAACTTTGCATCTCAGTCGTCTTAGGCATACATCTCAATTTTAAGCAAAGATCGCAAACTTACGTGAAGACGAAGAATAAAGTGGTCGACCCCACGAGAAGCGTGGCAGCTGTGGATACTGGGATGTATTTCGTGGGTTTAAATCTCTTTCCAGTGCTGTCGGGCATTCTGTAATTTCCACATTCCTTGGTTAATTATTCCGATTGCAGTGGCACATAGAATTGAGAGGTCCTTCGTGCAAGGTAGCGGTGAGTATGGCGGGCCTGGTTCGCGGCTGTAGGAGGTGCATACAACCAGAGTAGTTTTTTCTTTCCTCTCGCGGTGGGAAGCAGAAGCATAGATCCGAAGACAGAGGCAGTGCACTGAGCTCCGCGAAAGCCTGGAAATCCCACCCTTCCAAACCAGCCCACCCGTGAGGTCACTGAACCGCTCGAAAAGGTGGAGCCTCGCCGCAAAGCCGTCTCCAAAAGCAGGCAGCAGTCCCCAGGATAAACCATCTATCGGAATCCCCCTAAAAAGCCACTGCGGATGCATGAGTTTCACCATAAGACAGACATGGACCAAAGAGTTCTATGTTTTGAATGGGAAAAAATGCCCTTAAAGCTGGGGTACCTCATTTTAAAACGGACAAAGTAATGAAATCCATAGTAGTTTGGTTGTATTTCTCACATGCATATATTTTATCGTATTTTTCAGACATAAAAGGGACAAAGTTTTTATCAGTTTTAACATCAAGTTAAACTATGTTAAAACATTATGATACATTTTCATTATTATTTTCAAAGATTAATAAATATACTTTTTAAATGCAGAGTTGTTGTCATACAGGACAAGTACGAGTTTTCTGTTTTATTTTAATTGAATTCGGTTTTTTTTATAACAATTGTAAACCGCTTTGTGACTCTGGTCTGTGAAAGGCGGTATATAAATAAAGATTACTTACTTACTACTTACTTACTTTTATGTATGCATTTATTTTCAGTCAGTATGAGTCATGTTTGTGAAGTTGTAAACCTGTCTTTACTTCAGTGCAATGAAACTATAATAAACTATAACACTATAATGTTGTTAATTTTCAGGGGTTCTTCAGAAGATAAAATTATTCAACCCATATGTGAATTAGAATATATTACACGGTCTGAACCTGCAAGATTGTCCTGGAGCGCCACCATGTGTTTCTAACTCCTTAAAGTGCGATTTATTTGTCTTATGTCGGCCACCGTAATGTTTGTTGGCTCAGATTAGCTGCTAGTACCGATGTGCGCGGATGTATTTTTAGTTCCAAGGTGATCTCATGCTTTTACAGTGGATTAAACTTATTCACTCTAGTCTGAAATAGTACCAGAAGACAGCGGAAATCATATATCATAGTCTGTGTTGACATTTGTTTAGTCGTGTGTGGCTAACTCGCTAGCACTGCCTGTCTTGCTTTCGCTATGGCATATCGGAAGACTCTCAAACTTGTCTGTGGCCTGGCCGGGGGATCAGCTTTGGTTGTCGCCGCTGTTACTGCACAATCACAAGGGTTTTTAGGAGGAGGAAAACGGGGAGATGGAGACGGGAGCTGGTCCAGATTCCCCGCGATCAAAGCTGCGCAGCCGGCGTGGTCACCTGCTAGCCACACGCCTGCTCCCTCCGGACACTTCTGGGATTTCAATTGGGATAAGTATGTGGTGTGATTGCTTCATTGTGTTGTCTTGTGGGATTATTAGGGCTGTAATCGCCCAAATATATTCTTGGTCTACTAAAGACGTGTCCAGTCAAACGATTAGTCGACTATGAAATCTATCAAAACTATAATGCTATTAATTTTTATTCTAAACAGTAATACACTTGAGGATAATCTCACTAATAACGAAAAATCACTGTTAATGCAGCATTGATTTAACTGTTGAATTAAGAATTTGACAGTTTGAAACGATATAAAGACCTAAATGTTTAATTTATTTTCTCTGGCATTTGTTTTTTGCTGTTTTCAAATCATAATTGAGTATAGTTGCCATAGTAAGTTTTATTTTTTCCACCACTTCAAACTATTACAAACCCAACAATGACCTACTTTACTTCTTCTCACCTCAACCATATGTTGACAGCCATTTTTAATCTCCTGTCCTCTTTAACTTTGCAGGAGAGACCCATCTGCGCTGGTCAATGGAAAGAAGAAGGAAAGCGTGACAGATGACCCCAGCTCTGAGCAGGAAAATGGAAAACCCAAAGCCACCCGCAACATTCTGCTCATTAGACACTCTCAGTACAACCTGAGCGGCAGCACCGACAAGGAGAGGTTTCTCACTCCTTTAGGTAAATCTTGATACATGGTGGAAACTTGCCTCATAACAAGAAGTTTGTTGGTTCAATTTCCTTGTCAATTTGTTGAGTTTTGTTGGATGTTTCTCTGTGTGTCTGGCTGGGTTTTGTTTGGGCTCTCCAAGTATTCCGGTTTTGGTAGTCCTGACCATACTGCGGTCAACAACTTGAAATGCAGAGGATACATTTTCCTATGGGGGCAATAAAGTATACTTGACCTCACCTCACTTCAACTCAGTCCTTTTGATCAATTTCTGTATTGTTCAAAGTCCACGTGACTGATCTATTGTTTATCTCCAAAAAGAGTTAATTGTCCACTCGGTTTGTAAAGTCTCTAAAGTACTTTTTGATTTGATCACTAAATGATCAATTTATTTTCGGTAGTACAGAGTTGGAAGGAAATAATTAATGCATGTGTTTAAGAAAATGTACGTAAAACTATTGCTTCTTGGTTTTAGCTGTTGAGTTATTTCAACACAGTCAAAAAATTGTTTGATATTGCAAAATTAATTTATAACCGGTTTTAATGCTCTTTCCTGCCACCACAGCTAATCTCAAACAAAATCACACCAATAGATAAATAAGACATTGAAGTACTTCTACTCGGCCTAATGTGATTATTATGTTCATGTGAATGTTTTATTCCAAGGCCGTGAACAGGCAGAGTTTACCGGGCAGCGATTGGCAGCACTGGGACTGAAATATGATGTTCTTATTCACTCCAGTATGACGAGAGCAACAGAGACGGCAGGCATCATCAGCAAACATCTCCCAGGTCTGGACACACAAAACAAGTGTGTTGTTACATGCTTACAGAACCTGATAAATTATGTTCAAACTGTTTGTTTATAGACGTGGACTTGGTGAGCTGTGATTTATTAAGAGAAGGAGCACCTATTGAGCCAGTTCCCCCGGTCACACACTGGAAACCTGATGCTGTGGTGAGGACATTACACTTTGACACGCAGGGCTTTGCACCACTGTTAAAATGTTTGTCTTCCAAAGAGGCTTCTGCAGCTGTACTTTACAGTGTATGCTCAGCTTTTGACAGCTGCAGCAGCGCTCAGATATAAAACCAACAGGTTTGAAATCTTTGCTATCGCACTTCAGCAGTCGTGAGTTCCAGTGGTTATAAAAGTTTGTGGAGAGCCCTACAACAAATAGCTGCTACTTCACGGATTTGAAAGTTATTTTTAGAATATAACTCCTGAGAAAAACGAGGGACCGCTGTAGTATATAGATGTTTTATTATTATTACCTGTATTACCTGTTATTGATGATGTAGTTAGAGGGCGATTCACAATTTGGATCAAGACATTTCTTTCCCACAAAAGTCAAGACTGAACTTTTGGCATTTCAATATTTGTAGAAATGTTATTGCTACCTTACATTTTTTTCTCATGAACCCTGTAGAAAAGTTAGCGTCTGTAGCGCACCTTCCACCTGTGCTTTTCCAATCTTGAAGGCTTTTGAGGCTTTTTGAAGCACTCACAAGAGCCCTGTATTTGGCTTTCACCTTCTGTGCCGTCCTCCAGCAGTACCATGAAGATGGAGCTCGTATTGAAGCAGCCTTTCGTCGCTACATCCACCGCGCTGACACCAAGCAGAAAGAGGACAGCTTTGAGATCATTGTGTGTCATGCCAACGTCATCCGCTATTTTGTGTGCAGGTTTGTGTTTACTCAGATTAGGTGCATGTCGATAGAGTTTAGAGATTTGGGATAATGCACACCTTGCAGTAACTCAAAGTGAATTGTCTTTTGAGCAACATTGTCATAATGGTCACTCGACTCCAAAAATCCAAAACGATCTACAGTCCTTTGCGAAAGTATTCGCCCCCCTTGAACCTTTCAACATTTCGCCACATTTCAGGCTTCAAACATAAAGATATAAAATTTTAATTTTTTTTCATGAATCAACAAAAAGTGGGACACAATCGTGAAGTGGAACAAAATTTATTGGATAATTTAAACTTTTTAAACAAATAAAAAACTGAAAAGTGGGGCGTGCAATATTATTTGGCCCCTTTACTTTCAGTGCAGCAAACTCACTCCAGAAGTTCAGTGAGGATCTTTGAATGATCCAATGTTGTCCTAAATGACTGATGATGATAAATAGAATGCACCTGTGTGTAATCAAGTCTCCGTATAAATGCACCTGCTCTTTGATAGTCTCAGGGTTCTGTTTAAAGCGCAGAGAGAACCATGAAGACAAAGGAACACACCAGGCAGGTCCGAGATACTGTTGTGGAGAAGTTTAAAGCCGGATTTGGATACAAAAAGATTTCCCAAGCTTTAAACATCTCAAGGAGCACTGTGCAAGCAATTATATTGAAATGGAAGGAGTATCAGACCACTGCAAATCTACCAAGACCCGGCCGTCCCTCCAAACTTTCATCTCAAACAAGGAGAAGACTGATCAGAGATGCAGCCAAGAGGCCCATGATCACTCTGGATGAACTGCAGATTACAGCTGAGGTCGGAGAGTCTGTCCATAGGACAACAATCAGTCGTGCACTGCACAAATCTGGCCTTTATGGAAGAGTGGCAAGAAGAAAGCCATTTCTCAAAGATATCCATAAAAAGTCTCGTTTAAAGTTTGCCACAAGCCACCTGGGAGACACACCAAACATGTGGAAGAAGGTGCTCTGGTCAGATGAAACCAAAATCGAACTTTTTGGCCACAATGCAAAACGATATGTTTGGCGTAAAAGAAACACAGCTCATCACCCTGACCACACCATCCCCACTGTCAAACATGGTGGTGGCAGCATCATGGTTTGGGCCTGCTTTTCTTCAGCAGGGACAGGGAAGATGGCTAAAATTGATGGGAAGATGGATGGAGCCAAATACAGGACCATTCTGGAAGAAAACCTGTTGGAGTCTGCAAAAGACCTGAGACTGGGACGGAGATTTATCTTCCAACAGGACAATGATCCAAAACATAAAGCCAAATCTACAATGGAATGGTTCACAAATAGACGTATCCAGGTGTTAGAATGGCCAAGTCAAAGTCCAGACCTGAATCCAATCGAGAATCTGTGGAAAGAGCTGAAGACTGCTGTTCACAAACGCTCTCCATCCAACCTCACTGAGCTCGAGCTGTTTTCCAAGGAAGAATGGGCAAGAATTCGAGCCTCTCGATGTGCAAAACTGATAGACATATCCCAAGCGACTTGCAGCCGTAATTGCAGCAAAAGGTGGCGTTACAAAGTATTAGCGCAAGGGGGCCGAATAATATTGCATGCCCCACTTTTCAGTTTATTTGTTAAAAAAGTTTAAAATATCCAATAAATTTTGTTCCACTTCACGATTGTGTCCCACTTGTTGTTGATTCGTGACAAAAAATTTAATTTTTATATCTTTATGTTTGAAGCCTGAAATGGAATGAAAGGTTCAAGGGGGCCGAATACTTTCGCAAGGCACTGTATCTGCTGCGTCTGATAGATGTGACCCATGTGTCATTCACTCAAAGGCAGACCAATTGAAAGGTGTAGGAAGAAACTATAGCTGCAAGTCTAGGGCTGCATTTGAAAAAAATACTTTCTAGCCATGATTTTCCAAAATTCATTATATTTACAACTTGACCAGGTGGATCAATACATATCTTTAATATCTATATGGTAATACATTGATTTACTTTTCATCATCATCAGGACCTTCCTTTTTTATCCTTTTGTTTAAAAAAAAAAGAAAAACCCATTTAAAGGAATATTTAAAGTCCACAGTACTGCTCTAGATATTGATGGATTCTTCTGTAAGTAGACGTGCTCCAGGGTTGATGGTATATAGCACCACATAAGATATTGTTTCAGATTTTATGCCACAGAAATGAAAAATCAGAATAAGCTATTTTGAATTTGCAGCCCTGGACTCATCCAAATTAAACTTATCTGTAATGGTTGTGGCGGATGAAGTCTTTGTTTATATGTTAACAATAGTTTTCCATTGTCACCCTAGAGCTCTCCAGTTTCCCCCCGAGGGCTGGCTGCGGATGGGCCTGAACAACGCGAGTATAACGTGGCTGACCATTCGTCCCAGTGGAAGAGTGGCTCTGCGGACTCTAGGGGACTCTGGGTTCATTCCCCCGGACAAACTCACTCGGACCTGATGGCTCTGTTTAAATCAAATTTCTCCTTAAGTGTCTTGGAAGTTAATTTTGTTGTAATTTAAAGCAACCATGTGGGGCATCATTTATAAAATACGTATGTACAACCACTTTCCACGTTAACTTTGTGACAGAACATGATCTGTACCAAGACGAAAGTTTTATCAAAAAACATTTTATAAAACTTTCTCTCGTCTTAGTACAATGTTTGTTTGTACGAGCACTGTAGTAAGTGAATTAACCTCAAATCTAATTAGTGAAATTGCTGTAAACTAAACAAACTAGTAACTGTTTTTGACCCGTACATAGGCTTAGATATCAATAATTGTATTTCAGCAATTTGAGCTTGTGGCCCTAAAATGCATTATTTATTGGCAAATTCATTATCCATTGTCCAATCATGATCCTGTGAGGGAGGTTATGAGCGTGTACATTTGGCGCTAGAGCTAGGCATTTTTCTCTTTGTGATTTGAAAAGTCAAACTGCCTTGTCGAGGTTTTATGACTTTGAATAAAAATACACTTTTCATTCTGCAGTTAGACAACCCAATTTGAGAATATGTTCTCTAGGGGCACCACTTGAGCTTTGTTCTGGTCAAATGTATAAAAATCCCATTTTCACTGGACATTGAGATTTGAACATCAAAATGCTTTTTTTACCGCCCTGAAGTACGCACAAAAATTGTATACGATAAACTGTTTAGTTTGTGATTTATGAAAAGACAACTTTATTTCATGTGTAATTTGTCAAATGTTTTTGTGCTGAAGCCAACAAGCTGAGTAGTTTGTGGAAGTATAGTTTGTATGTGCATTTCTTGTATAAAAAAAAAAAAAAAATCTAAAACGTTTTCTAAATGGAGCCCCACGGTTTTACTCTTGTGGTTGATGTGTGCCATATGACGCCAGCAAAGTTTTCCAAAAGCTGCTTTGCGAGTCCTCTTGAATGTAGTTTTTACACTTTTTAAAACCAACTGAAACACGGTGTTGTATTGCAAAAAACATTGTGTACTTAATCATGTTGGGGTAAAATGAAAATAAACTTTGACATTTTGTATTGAAACTAGACAAAGTAGGTGTGATGTTTTATTAACGTAAATGTCCAGACATACAGAAAGAATACACCATGACTCTTAATAATAAAGCACAAAGCATGTTTTGACGTTTTAGGTGCATTTTCCACATTCATGAACATTCAAAGACCAGAATGGACCGGAGAGCACGAGGTTGACGGTACAATCATTGCGTGAGGATTGGTGCTCTCAAACAGTTAAGTTCACAACAAATTTACATTCAGAACTGCTGTTGAACAACCTGACCCGAGTGGAAAACTGAACCGTTGATTTGCATTTTTAATCTATTTTACAACTATTTCCACTAGTCAATTTTATTTCACAAAGTAAAAGCTAAATTAAAAGGACTTCCATAGTTTGGTACCATTAGTACTATGTATAACTAATGATATACATTTAAGGCATTTTCTGCAGTAACTCGAACTGGGAAGAGTGACCCAGCCTTCTAACCTCTTAGAATATAAAGCTGGGGTGCCTGAAATTTTGGTTTTAAAAATACATTTTGATTTCTGTGGGTACAAAGTCTTGTAAAAGTAAAATGGGAATAATTCAGACCACAATATGACGCCTTCATCTTTTGCCTTCTTGTAATAGAGCTGAGTCACTGTTTGACACTTTGGGCTTAGAGCTGAGATTTTTTCCACTCTAAAGATGACAGAAGCCAAAAACACAGGAATGCGAAATCTAGCGAATGGAACAGTCATTTTGAGAATGTTAGATTTAATACTGGTTTCATTGTTTGCAGTTTGAAGTTAGGTACCCCAGCTTTAATGTTATGTAATATGACAATTAAATTGTTTGCATATAAAATAGAAATAATTGCACATCTAAACCCAGCTGCAGAAAACAAAGTGTCCAGTTATGACTGAGAAAATGTCTAAATAACAATAAAAACATGGAAGAGTTCAGTGTGTCCTTGAGGTTCGCCATAATCTCCTGCCCCAGATCCAGTCGTGTTTGTGTCAAAGTAATCAGATGTGACCAATCTCAGAAAATTAAGGCAATTTCTGAACTGAAGAGAACTTAAAAAATGGCAGTCGGTTTATCACCACTTATAAAACAGTTTGTGCTACTGACCAACATACAAAAAATATTTATTTTGAATATTAACATTACGTTTTCTTAAAAGACGCATCAGTGCCAGAAACCTGTGGAGGACCTCACACTAATGTTTTCGTGACTTACTTTGGGGAGTGTTCCCTTGTACCATCATATTGAGAGTTGACCCGGACTATGATACAGGTGCTTCTCACTTCCCACTTTACGTTTAACTTAATCACAGCCACAGCCATAACATACACACATCTTTTTTCCTTTTATATATCGAGGACGTCACAACCAGACATAAGGATTCCCATTTCCTTTAGTACATGTCAGCGCAAGTAAAAAACTTCAAGACATAATTGTGCATATTTCTGTTAGACTGGTGAGCTCCTTACGGTCAGAGCCACTGGTGCAGCTGGATGTGTACATGGAGGAAAGCCGAGCGGGACCACACTGGTTGGCAGGAGTTATACCGATGGGTCGTTTAAGTGCTTGAGGCGGATTCTCTGGATGAAGCTAGCACTGGCAGGGCTGTACCGGCTGGGGCTGAAGTCTGGGGAGGCCACGTGTCGAGACGGAGACATCAGGCTACTCACTGGAGAGCCGGGGGTTTGGGGCATCCTGAGACGCGGCTTCACCACAGCGGGACTGGGCCACCTGCATAGATATAAAATTGAATTATTATTATTCATATTAGACAATGTTACATCTTTATGCTCTTTGCTCATTCTGCCTTCTGACTGTCTAAACAATGTTTAAAGAGTACATTGTGGGGACACCTAAAAACAAAATACAGACTGTTTCTCTCTTCAAAGTACACCAATTTTATTTGATTGCGTTTTGCATCTACTCACCTCTGCATTTCTGAAATAGAAAATAACTTCATTGTGCTCTTCCACTTATGAATGCTGGGGTACTTTTGAGGATCGATGTCCAGGCCTTCAATGGCCGACAAAACTTGACTATCCACCTTTGTAGGTGAATATCTTAAAAAAAAAAAACAACAAAAAAAACATTAGGTTATTCTGTGTCAGGGACTGGTTAATAAATGTTTGTGTTACAAACAATAGTGTGGCTTACCCTTCAATGAAAAGTCCTTTTTTTATGGGTGGTGGTGTTCGCGGTAAAAATTCATGAGAGTTGTCCAGAGACTTGTATGACGAGCCGGAGGAGCCGGAGCTGCTCAGGTCCCTCCCTCCGTGGTCCCATGACTTTGACCTGGCACAGAAATTACGCGCCCCTGGAAATGACTCTCTAGTCCTGCCGAGAAAATCCAGGTTCTCCTCTGCCTCAAAGAACTCCTCTGAGCTGCCACTGCTGCGGCGCTCCTCTGAAGTCCAGCTGGGCCCCTCTACACACTCACCATCCTGTTTGGGGCCGAGAGAGAGGCGGTGCAGCCCGGAGCTCAGGTCTGCAGACGAGGAGAAACTGTGTGGATCTCTGCTCCTGCCTCCGCTGCTCCTCCTCTCCCTACAGCCTGTGGAGGCATCTATGGACTCCTGAAGGGACATGCGCTCAAACTCCGCCATCAGGTTGGAGATGGGGGACAGGAGACAGGAGGAAGGGGAGGTGCGCAGGGACACATTGTCTCCGTTGAGAGTCCTATTTCTAGAGGAGGAGCACATGCCATTTTTACAGGCTGTGCTGGGCGACAGAAGGCTGTCGTCGCAGCGACAGAGCACGTCCTGCTCAGCGGCTGTTTCGATCAGATCCGGTCTGGGTAGGATGTGAAAGTCGTGGCCTCCCATCGCCCCCTTGAGCCCGTCTTTGGCTGCAGCGGACGAAGTGATGCTGGTAAGTGCTGCATTCTGCCGGTTCTTTATTTCTTCAAGGCTGATGTCATCTCCTTCATCCAAGAAAGCACCCACAGAGATTGAGTTGCAAAACTTCTTGACTTTACCTGAAAACGCAACAACAATCTATTGGTGTGAGAATTCTGACACAAACCAAACGTTGTAATGTACCTGGAGAGGGGGTCCTAAATTTATTACACGTCTCATTTTCACCAGCCTTATCATAAACCCGATAGTTGAAATCCTTTTTTCCCAAGTATTCTTCAAGTTTACGTAAACCTTCTGCTGATGACAAATCCACAAAACTGTCTAGAAAGTCCCAGTACTCCGTCCAGGGATGGCCCATTTCATGAGCCAGGTCTCTGCAAAGGAACAGCTGTTACTATATGCTTTTGTGGTTGCTTATTTTAATACTGTTAAATGTTATTGGGCTTAGTGACGCGGGATGTGAAGTACCTTCCCACTTTCTCTGCTCCACGTTCTGGGTCAGACTTGAGGATGTTGACACGTTCTCGAGGCGGTGTTTTCCAAGACCGTCTGAAGGAATCTGCCTAAAAAGGGGCAAAGCCAATAGTAAACAACACTGTGCTAAATTTATTTATCTCACACGTAATTTCAAAGACCTGCCTTTGACGGGCTCAAAGGTCCAGCAAAAGCTGTTACGGTCATCATAGGATCCTTGGGACTTCTCATGTGACGATGGATCAAAGAGAGACTTTCGGACGATTCAGGTGACCACGGAGTACCAATAATAGGTTGAGATGTGTTATCTGTTGCCCTCAGCAAAGGAATATAGCAGCGATCTGAAACATGTTAGGCTAAAGTGAGGACTAACAGAAGTGAAGAAAGAAAACACTGTCATTTGATGTATAAAATACCTTCCAAGTATTCAATAATCTTCTGCTTAATCTCCGGCGTTTTGTTTTTTCGGCTACAAATAACCTACAGAAAAGGAAGTGGTTTATTAATAGACATAATACAGCACAACTGCTCCTTCACAAGGAATAACTGAGTACTACACTCCTGACAACAAATTAGCTCATGGTGATCTAATTTTAACTTTCTATGTGGAGTTGCCACATATCCGCATAGCAAATGAAAGCGCTGGTACAAGGGTAAAAGTACTAACGAGTTAGTATTACACGTTGCTACCATCACTCACATCAGAGGGCCTCTGGCCATCCTTGTTTTTGCAGTTTTTATCAATGTCCGGATGTGAACACAGAACGTTGACAACCTCAGGGCACCCAAACTTACAGGCAAAGTGAAGAGGAGTTTCAAATCCCTAAAAAAAAGACTTTTTAATTTGTAACTTGAAAACAGTTTCTATTAAATGAAAACATTGTCATAAAACTCACAGCTTTATCAGGAGTATTGAGGTAAAGATCTACAATGTAGCAGATACGTTTCTGTAACATTGATTCCTGGTCATCTGGGTACATAAGGCGCATGAACTCTGGGTTCTCTAAAATGTCCAAGAGCAGCTGGCTGATCCCTGCTTGGTTTTCCTTTGCTGCCACATGCATCACATTGTACCGGCAACCTTCCTGAATAGCAAAACATAGAAGATAGTCTTTTTAAAGATATTTTTGAAATCTATTACAAGAATGTAATTCCTCCCTCCATAAAATAACATGTTACCTGCACTATAGTTGGATTATCCCCTGAACCAATGAGATAACGGGGGTTGCTCAAAACCAGATCGCGGAAGGCAGATTCATCGCCCTTCTCCACAGCCTTCCTTAATTTGGCCGTCAAGTCCTGCGTGCGTGGACTCTTGTAGCTATTGGCCTTTTCCCGGTTGATAGAATCAACTTCCATATTTTCTGCAATGGATAAGGGTTAGCTTCACTTTCAGCGTTGATGTTTAAAAAAAAAAAACTGAATCATTCACACCTTTACAAATAGCTGCTCCTGGTTTTACAGGTGAAACACATGGTGCCGACTTGCTTGGAGAAGGGTAGTAGTCACAAAAACCCTTTGCAAACTTTTCAGCATCTTCACGATTAGGAAATGCCTTAAAGCGGGCACCCTTCATCAACTTAACAGCCTGAAGTGCTTCCTTCTTGTCTATGTACACATGTGCCCTTTCTATAAAAACAAACATTTAGAATTTCATTTCACCATTCAGCAAGCAAACATTACAGAGTAGAAACTACAATTTGCTTTTATGTTACACATTTCAGGAATCAACCCTTGAAATCAAATACTGTGCATAATAATTTAAATAAGGCCTCTTCAATTGTACAAATGGAATACTATGTATTTGTAACTATGCATAATATATATTTTAAAGTCTTTTACCATTTCGAGCCAAAACATCCTCCCATGGTGGGCATATCCCATAATAGCATGTTGGGGACGTCTGTGCAGGTCGGGATGGAGTTTCACACAGAGACTTCGATTGGGAGAGATCTGAGACGTTTGAATTGGGCACCACAGAGATCTCCTCTTCTTCTGGTGGGTTAAGACCCATCCCATATCCGAAGTCCAACTCCTCTCGAGCAGCTTCACTTGTGCTGCTTATTGGAGGTGTAGCTGCTGTAGAGGCACTTTTCAATTGTGTGGTGTGTTTAATGGCATTTTGGGAGATCTCTGCTGATGCTGTGCCTGAATCAGACTCACTGGCCTCTGGACCTGCAAGGGCTCGAGCAAGCTTTCTCTCAAATATTGCCCGGGTTGTAGCAGTGATGGGGCCACATTTCAAGTTTGCTTGGGCAAACTCCTCCCGCAGTTCATCAGCACTCAGCCCCTTCAACCTGCTCAGAACAGCCTCCATGCTTTAACCCTATGGCACAATATAGGACACTGGTCAAAGCAAGATTACAACTAACTAAATGATTGAACATTTGTAATTAGAATGTACTTTACAAAATATAGTTTGTGATTCAACTGCTCAATGTATGCATAATTAAATAAAATGGGTGGTTTGCTAGCTTAAAGTCATTTCCTTGTAGCCGAATTGAAAACTGTAAAGGACTCAATATAAGTAGTTAGTGTGGTATGCCATTCATTTTACTATTTTGCCCTACGACATTGCTGTGGAAGAACTGTCTTTAACACACGCTGTCACGCCTTAATATAGCTATCAATCGAGGTTGTTTTCCGAGCAGCAACATTTACCTGATGACATGCGGAGAAGTTGGTGCCTGTACTCACCACGTAACTTCCCGTGTTCATTGTTAGCAGATCGATTGAAATCTGACCTCAGTTTAGACAGATTAACTGTAGGAGAGACAAAAGCTAGGCTCGAGAGGTAATAGCCTCATTGTTTACAACACACTGCACGCATGCGCAGATTCTAGGGAGGGCACACGCCGCTTTGAGAACCGTAGGAAATTTTACATCGCTATATCAGGAACGCCGACTGAGAACGTGGTGATACAGTGATAACGCTAATATTTATACTTTTGATGGGCTTAGTTTGAATTCCCCACATGCCAGGAAATTGATAATGATAAAAGTGTCTTTTTAAAAGTACCCGCTTCCCATCGAGCAGCTTTTCAGCCTTCATAAATTCATATCAAGGAAGCCTAAAAAAAAGCTTCAAGTATTCAAACACCCACGATTTACAGTAATTACAGATGTAGCGGACTGTCATCGGGAAGTCAAAATGCAATGACTTCATGTCGCTGTTAGGCCAACTAGCATTACAAACATGTTATTCCTAAAGGACTCTCCATTCACCTGTAATCAGCTTAACTATGTACAAATTATTATTATTAGTATTTTTTATACACTAAGCCATCACTCTACCTCCACTGACAGTTCAGAAATCCGTGTTTATTTACCATTAGCTTATTTCTGCAATGCTAACGTTGTCACTGGCTAACCCCTCGTAAAAAGCATGGCTATTCTACACAAGTCTGCGGTGGATCCAAGCACTCAAAAATATGCATTTAAAAACCGGGTTGGTTTTCAATTGCTTCAACAATGCTCAGCTCGTTATATACACAACAGAGCTCCATCAAAATAAATACAATTACCTCCACCTCCTCCTCTCCCTCTGGTGTCACACCGCGACGGTTTCAAACGCAGCGTCCCAGGACCCAGTACAGTCCCAGTGAACGCCTTAGCAAAATTAAAATTATTTACATTTTTGAACAATTTTACTATTTATATTGTTACACGATACAGTGCAATTGTTTCAATATCACACAAAAGGTCATGTCAATGCATTCATTTACATTTACAAAAAAATCTGAAAATTAACGTAATTCTAATTGATCGTCGCCTACTTACACAGCGGGACTATGATAATGATAATGATTATGATAATAATCTATGAGCGGGACACACAGTTCATTCCCTCTGTACGAGACTGAAGACATCATTCTACGGTCTGTGCTCTTGGTTTTGGAAACTACTATTGTAGCCACAGCTGCCCCGGGGTAGACTGAGCATATGAGTCTGCCAATCTTTGTACACTAATAATAATAATAATGCATCAGTTTTATATAGCTCTTTTTTGGACACTCAAAGACGCTTTACATGTCATCATTCTTTCACTCCATACACGGTGGTGATAAACTACTGCTGTAGCCACATCTGCCCTGGGGCACACTGACAGAAGCGAGGCAACCAGTATGTGCCATCAGCCCCTCCGACCACAAACCAATCACACACACACACACCAGACTCATTCTAGGCAATGGGGGTAAAGTGTCTTGCCTAAGGACACAATAGCAGTTTGACACTTTACAGCCGCAGCCACCCCACTGTGGCTGGTGTTCCCAGAGGTTAAGTGTCTTGCCAAGGACAGCGGGAATCGATGGTGAAAGTCAGGCTCGAACCCACAACCCTCTGGCTCAAGGCCAATACTCTACCGACTGAGCTACTGTCGTCCTTATATTAATGATGTTGAGTATGTTTATGTTTTCAATTGTTTACTAAGACAGTGTGCTAGTTCTTATCCGTCCCATTATACATGTTGGTAGGGGAAGCCTGTAGACACATGATGCAAACGTATTATAGATCCATGGAAGTCGAACACAGGACCCTCATGAGCGGTGACAGCTCTATCCACTTTGCCCCCGTGTCTAGGCTCCCACCTTCATTTATATAACACATACAGATAAGCAAGAATGACAAGTCTTTTTCAATGAATAGTGCAACTTTATGATAAATACAGTCACATCCCCTAACACAAATGTTGAAACAATGGAATGACTGAATCCCAAATGAGAAGAACAGCAGAAATACAGCGTTAGAGAACAGAGTAAAAATGTCAAGTGTAGTTATTACACGTTACAAAAAATACAGTTTTGGAAAATAAAGTTCAAATAATCTTTTCCCAAGTTTTGATAAATAGCCCATAATCATTTCAAAATGAAATGATTTTGTCCCTTTTAAAATACAAACAGGTTGAAATTTCTTATCTGTATAATGAACAAAGGATATTACGATTTGTAATGATGGTACCAGAATCAACCGCCCATTTGATTTAATTTATTTTGACACTTTTTACACCACCAATTAACAGTTAATATGAATACACATACAAAAAATGAAGCAAATATATTAACTCCTGGAAATAATTTACTTATTAATTAAATCAGCCACACAGCAAATGCAGAATACAATTATTGTAACCAGAAAAAGTCATGTCAGATTGCACGTTAGTAGTAGTAGTAGTAGTAACATAACTGCTTTATCTTACAGTGTTCTCATCCAATTGACCACTAAATGTGCAGTTTTATCAGTAATCAATGCAATGAAACATTATAAATCTTATTTACTTAAAGTAATGGATTACTTTTCAAAACATTGCTTTTAAGGCTGTAAAAAGGTATTTGCAACTGCATTTCATGCTCGAACAATCTGAACATGTCTGAGTTTATTCCATGTCAGTAGAGAATAATGAGTATTTCTCGTGTACAGGCACAGGCAAACTGGAAGAACCATTTTCAAACGTAAACTTTGTTGGGAAAAATACTCATTTCTAATGTTGAATGTCAGTAAATGCATTTGAGAGTGTTTTGAGGAAACTGCCATAAGGGGTCTTCTTAAAATATACTCATTTCAAACTCCAAATAAATAAATCTCAAATATTTAACAAAAATATAAACAACAAGCGAACAAAGTATAAAGCTATGGTATAGAAAGTATCGATTTGAGAAAGCACCCATGTGCTGATGGGAAATTGCCAAATGTTGGCAGCAATTAAAGAACACAGAGCTCAAAGTGCCTTGTGGATAAAACTCCACTCTCCCTTTTCCAACCTGAGATATTTTTATTAGGATTGTGATTCGGCATCGTTATTATTTCCTAGCAGCGGTAAAGATGTGGGACCATTTTTCTGGGGCTCCAGCAGAGCGTCTTCATCCTCACCGTTAGGCCACGAGTTTATTGACTCATGAACTGTTACTGTGTGCTCCTCCATCTGTCTTTGAAGGCAGTCCATCTCCTCCCTGAAAATCCACGGTAAAACATTTACAACTTTAAAACCCAGGCTATGAAGTCTAAAACAAAGAGAAGCATACTTAAGTTGCCGTAGACAGTTGTGCAGGTTGTTGAGCGGCTCTTTGTTAACAGCAGTGGATGGCTTCAGTAGTTCGTCCAAAAGAGAAGCAGGCACAGGACAGTCAGGGATTTTTACTGGAGTCACTGGGTTGGAAGGGTTTCCCTCACTCTTCAGCTCTATGCGCTGGTACAACAACAAAAAGGTGATTATTTTTTATCATTTCATTATTCATTTTCAGTTTTACAACATGAGTGCAAAAACACTTCCTTGCCTTTCTCATACGGTTCTGTTTGAGCTGCTGGTTTTGCAGGAGTAAAGTCTTCATACTGTTCCTCAGCTCTCCCACTTTGGCTTGGAGCATAAACTTGTCTTTTCTGGCACTACTCAAATCCTCCTGAACCGTCTCAAGTTCCACCTTTATGCTCTGTCACATAGAGATATTGGTTAGACATGATGACCATTTGAAGTCAAGACAACACCCATCCTTGGTTAGTCAAATTGCCGTTTTAATAGAGCAGAAACATGTAAGCAGAAGTTCGAAAAAAGTATTTTCAAGATTTATATTTAATTATTTCAAGCAGGACATGGATTTATAAAATACAGAGTGTACAGCTTTTAGATTAAAAATGACATTATATTTTGAGTTATAGCAGCCTTTGCAAATGTCTAACGTCTAAACATTAAATTAAAATTTGAATGCAGTCAATCTAGCAGCCGGAGAAGGGACAGTCACTGGTTTTCCCCATTTAAGTAATGATGATGTTGAAAAAAAACCCCACAATATAAGCATTATGTGTCTGAAAATGTAATATCAATAATGATGTTATTCAATTGATTAAGATAAACTATGGTTAGTGATTCACTGACAGATTCTGATGCAGTACTTACATGAAGAGCGGTTTGCAGGTTGTCCAGCTCCCTCTGGTGGCACTGCTCCATCATTTCCGTCTGCTGCTTCTGAGCCTCAATCTCTCTCTGCTTTTGCTCCACCTCCCACTTCAAGTCTTCAACCTTACGAGGCGAAATGATTGAAACCACATTAACATTAAAAACTCCCTTTCCTTTGTTTATTGAAAGAAAAGAACAAAGGAAGAAGGAAAAGCAGGGTATAAAGTTACTCGCCTCTTGGTTTGTGAGAGGTTGTTTAGCCAGTTCCTCATCGAGACGTTTCTGTAGAATCTGCAGTTGTGATCGAGTCTCAGACAGATCCTCTTGAAACTTCGAAACTTCCTGAGCATGTTGTTCATCCTGAGCCCTGAAAAATAGGGATAATCATTTCGTACGTTTTGTTTGACCAATGTAAAGTATAAATAAATATGTCCATACTGTAATTGCTGGGCTTCTTTTTGCAGAACTTGAACCAAACCCTCTTTCGCCTGCAGCTCCTTCTTGATCTCAGACAGCTCCAACATGGCCGCCCTGTAGTGTCGTCTGTTATGAGCCGCTTCTGCTTTCGCTGCTGCCACCTGAAGAGCAATTACAACATGAAAAACACAGGATGTACATTTTTATCTCAAGGAAAATCTGTTTATAAAATCCACATTTCAGATAATATGTATGGTAAAATGCAATGTGGGGGATTCCTACCTGTTCTTTCAGTTCGTTCACTTTAGATTTCTCTTTTTCCAACGCTAGCTGCAGTTTCTGGACCACCTGCCGCATCTGCTGATCCTCCTCCTCTTTACGTTTTAGAACAGCTTGAACCTGCAATTCGATTGATAATTGCCCAGCAGTTATTAATCTATACATAATCTAAGATACAATAAAGCGTTAGAAAGAGCATACCTGTAAATTAAGCTGTACAAGATCTGCTTCTCTTTTTGCTAGTGCCGTTTCTAAAACATTAGAATGTTCCCGCAAGGCATTATGGGACTGTGCCAAACCAGCCAATTTCCCTTTTTCATGTTCCAACTCTAAAGCTAGTTTCTTGTTGGCATCCTCTAATTTCCGGATCCTTTTCTTGAAGCACCTTGCCTCTTGAAGCTGTGGGTAGAAAGCAGGGACATAATCTCAAGTTTAAATCAAAATCAAAAGTAAATTGGGCAATTAAATATGTTAATAATATGTCTAATTAGAATGTGCCTCACCTCGTCTTCTAACTCGAGCACTTTTTCCTGATATTCCTCCAGCTCTGTAGAGGTAAGGGTGATTACTTCTTGCAGCTCTTTCTCCAACATAGACTTGCTGTTATTCACAGCCTTTAGCTCAGCCTGGAGAGCTTCAATCTTCTCCTGGGAGGAAAAAAAACACACAATTTGGCAAAAATCAAAACAAATGTAACTGTACTGTGTTGTTCAAAACAGATTTTAGTATGTTAATGGTTGCAGAGAAGCGAGAGTGCTAATCATTGTGCCACCCAAACATAGTCTTTCCCCTGAATTCATTACATCACTGCTGCTACAATCACAATTCACCGTTTTTAGTTTAGTTTGGAAAATGTGACGATTCTGCAGCATTTTAGAACATTTTGAATTAGACTGATTTGCCGCTATGTTTTTTGTGGACAACGTTGATGAATCAGAGTCAACAAAAATATTCATGGGTATAAAAAATATCTAAATTAAGATAGAATAGAAAAAATAGTCCATGTATATTACCTGCAAGGCTTGAGTGTTTCCTCCATCGGAGACTTTTGCTTTCAGTTTGACCAGCTCTGCCTCAGTCACTTCCTTTTCAGCGAGAGCTTCTTGAAGTCTTCTGCTCAGGATGCCCACTGCATTTTCATAGGCTTTGTGTTTGGCTTTCATCTCCTTCTGGGCACTGGTCAGGTCTGTGCCCAGCCGCTTCACGCGCACCTTCTGTTCTGAGATGGCTCTTTAATATATAAAAGCAATGTATACATTTTAATGCGAGTAAATGTATTGTAGAAGTTTGCAAAAAGATCAAAAGACAAAACACCATCTCAAAAAGAATATATTGTATATGATTCCACTTCACACACACAAGCCTAGTACTGGTGTGTGTGTGAATGATTGGTGGTGGTTGGAGGGGTCCATGGCAGACTGGTTGCCTCAATTCTGTCAGTCTGTCCAGGGCAGCTGTGGCTTAATAATGCCATAGGAAGAGTGTTTGAGGTGCCATGTTAAAGCTCTACATACATTTATTATCATTATCATGGACCTTCCAATGGACCTGTGTCTAACGTCACACATTTCTACTGAAAACAAGACTCACTTTTTGGCTTCACCTTCCATCTGCTCCACCTGTTTCCTCAGGCCCTCGTTTTCCTCTGTCACCGACACAAGCTGGCTTCTATCAAACTGTAAAGACTTCAGAGGAATAAAGCATTAACATGTGACACTTGTGTTGGCCCATTACAGTCGAAAGATAAAGGATTCGAACTATACCTGTACTTGACCCTCCAGCTCATCCCGTTCTCTCTGAATAGCCTCGAGATGGGCCTCCATGTTGGTCATCTGCTCCTGGACCCGGACCACCTCCTGCTGCAGCCGGCTCTGCTCCACCTCCACCCTCTGCTTCCCCTCCTGGACTCCCTGCAGCTGCCCTTTCAGATCCTTCACCTCCGACATCAGCCTCTTCTTGGTCGACTTGAGTTCGGTGATGAGCTGGTCCTTGGAGCTCGCATCCCGGCGGTAGGCCTCAACCATCACCTGGGAAGGACAACCAGATTGAGGTAGGTGAAGACAGAAGGCATACAATCTCTTCATTTTGCACAACTCTTTATTGCATTTGCGTTTTATAATTCTGCAAAAAAACTAAAATAACATCAAAACATAACACACAATAACAAAGCTGTCGTCTTGTCACCAAAATCCACCCACTTTCTGACAGCGTCTTTGTGCAGAGAGCCTCTTTTGAAGATGACAGCCAGCAGGGTTTACAAAAGACCTCTTACAATAACGCCACATCACTGTGTAACAAGTTTTCTTATTTATAATATTTTGTTGTTACCTTTTGCTGCGTGAACTGCTCTTTTAATTTCTGAGCTTGTTTCTTCAATGAAATATTTTCCTGTTGCAGAGTTTCGATCTAAAAAGTAACAGATATGAATGAATCCTGATCATATGAAGATATGAATGAAATATAATAGTTGTAATATGAATACCTGGCTGGTTTTGACTTTGACCTCTTGTCTGAGCTCATCCAAGATGTCTGAGGCCACGAGGACCTCTTCTCCAAGTTTTTCAGCCCCTTCATCGAGTTGACTCTTTTCGGCCCGCGCTGCCTGCAGCGCCACCTCAAGAACTATTTTCTCATTTTGGAGAAACTGAATGTTATCGTCTTTAGCGTTGGTCTCAGTCTGCAGCTCAGCCAGCTGAGCCTCCAGCTCCATGTAGCGGGCCTCCAGCTGGTTAATGGACTGCTCTTTGGTTTGAAGCGTCTCCTGAGTGGTGGTAAGCTGTCGCATCAGCTCCAGATGTTCCTTCTGCAGTGACTGCAGCTGCATATCCTTCTGGGAGAGAGTCAGCTTCACCTAAAAATAAAAAGTCAATAACTGCCAATCTGATAAAAGATAGTTTGAAACAGACAAATTTAGAGCACCAGTTCAAGTTCTCTTTCCAATGCAGTGGCTGTGTTGGCCAGTTTCAGTAAGTCCTCTCGTTCTGCTTCTAACTCTTCCAGTTTGTGCTGCAGGTCGTCCTCCACCATTGTTTTTGCATCTTGGATCTGCTTATATGCAGCTTCTTGGGTCAGCATATCAACCTTTACAGAAAAAGGAGCATATCAACCTTTTAACAGAAAAACGCTAAAGCACCGCTATCGCCACTTTTTATTGTACATAATAAATCCTGCACAGACTATATTTTTAACCTTTAAAATGTTTGCACACTTCTGTCTTTTGCACAATCTATGCCAAATGTGACATGTACATTTCTCCATTGTGAGATCAATAAAGTTTATCTTATCTTATACAACTAAATAAAGTCTGTTACAAAAGCACTTACCTCAATGCTCTGCAGTTGAACAGCAATGCGCTCCTTTTCTTTGATGGATCGATGTTGAGTGTCACTCAGTTGGTGGGACAGCGTCACATTCTCCAGTTTCAGATGTTCAAGTACCCCAGACTGTGTCATCTGTCCTGCCTTCAAAACAAACCACAATGATGAATCATGTCTTATAAGAACAGGTGTGCTAAATATCTACTTTACCTGCATGTTGGCCATCTCACTTTGTAGCCGGACTCTGGCCTCCTGGGCCACAGCGAGCTGCTGCTGGTACCACTGTCTGACTTGCTGGAGTGAGTCTATTTCAGCCTGAGAAGTTTTGAGTCGACTCTGTAAGGTGCTACGCTCCAGCTGCACCTGCTGAAGCTGACCCTGCAGACCACCCATCTGGTGACGCAACTCCTGAACTGCACAATTCAACAATGTTAAAGACGACTTTGAAGTTTCATAATTTAATTTAATTTAATTTAATACGAAGCTTTCTGTGGGTTCTTACCAGTGCCATCCCTTGATGTTATAGTTTGTTGCATCTCCTCAACCTTCCCCATCAGTCTGTTATACTGATCTTCAGCCACTTGCAGGTCAGTGCTCAAAGAAGCTAGACTGGCGTTCTTGCCCTCTATATCCCCCTGGAGCTCCACCATTGCCTTCTCCAGCTGGCTGCAGTTCTCCTTCAAAGTACCGACCTCTTTAGTGAGGGTTCCCCGCTTCTGCTGACTGACCTGAGCCTCCTCATTTTTGGCTTGTAATTGTGCGTTCACAGCAGCGAGCTGGGCCTGGAGTTCTGTTTTTTCTTTAAGTGCCTAAGAAGGAGATCTCTTTACATTAGAAACTGGTTTAATAATAACAAATGATTAAACCACAAATGTTTCCAAAATAATTAAGTGGATATAACCTGATTAGCTTCAGATGACAAGGATTCAAGTTGGCCCTCAAGCCTCATTTTCTCTTTTAGAACTTGAAGCATTTCATCATGGCCCATTACAGAGCTCTCTATAGAAATACTGAAAGGAGTAAAACAAAATTGTTGTGATAATACATTCCATAGACACAGTTTGTGACCAGAATTAATGCAAACATTTTCATTACCTGCTTGAAAAGCTGTCCCGGCGGCTTCGTGGCTCAGCTGTACTTTCTCGATCTTGCTCCAGCTCTAGTAGATGTTGCTCTTCGCTCGCGGCCTGCAACACCTCTTTCAATGAGGGGAATTGACCCATGGCTTCTGCAGCAATCTGCCTCCCTTCCACTGTGTAGGACCCTTGTCTGTCAACTGCTGCCGCGAGCATGCCATATGTGCCCCTGGTTGACACACTACTATAGGATGAGCTGTCACTGTCATTCCCATCAGTCCCTGGCCTTGTCCCGGATTCACTGCCGTCAACCTCCGAGACATCATCAATGGACAGAGGAGAAGCACCAAGTTGTCCATGAACTTCACGTGGGCTGCGTTCCGATATAATGCTCACCTCAGACACCGTTGACACCGAACTAATACTGGTGTGATGTAAAACTGCAGAGTTATCCATCGTCCTGGCGCCCCCACCACCTGTTCCTCCACCGCCATCATTCTCTGGAGTCTTATAGTCAGCCAAAGAGTGGATTTTATTGGGACGAGGAGACCTGGACTTCTTCTCTTTGGCAGGAGGAATGCCCAAGCTTCCGAGTTTAGGACCACGGGGGACACTCGTTCTCAGGAAAGAATATTCTGTGGTCATGGCGACAGTACTGGCCCGGGGCAGGGCTTCGGGATGCAACATCAGCTCTGGATCCAAAGTACTAAAAGCTCTGCTCTTAGTATGGGGGCGGTGAGACTATAGGGGCAAAAAGATGACATTGTTTATTCTTGAATAAGTGCAGTTTGTGAATTTGAGTGATTAAGTATTTATTCACCCTCTCTTTGTGTCTCTGCACTCTGTACTGTTTGAGCTGCTCCTCAAGACGTCTGCGGGCTTCATATCGAATCTTCTCTTCATTTTCCATCTCCAGTGACGGCTTCTTATTGGCTGATATAAAAAGGGACAATAATTATTGCAGGAAAACATCAAAAACACAATAGAGAGATTTTTAAAAAGCTCATTCATAAACATTGTGGTAAGGATTGCATAGGTTACTGTGTAGTCTACACAGGGCAAGAAGACTATCTCCATCATATTCAAAACATATTCAAATAGTAGAAGGCAGGCTTTGTCAAGAGAGATGACCAGAGCTGCCACAGCTTTGAACTTTATTATGGAGAATTGTGTAAAAGTTTTGCCCAGTTTACCACAACAGATGTTTACAAGTTTTACATTGCACATGCTTGTAAATGTCATGCTCAATTTACACACAAAAAGGTCAACTAAATATATTAATATTGTTGTACCCATGCATCAATAAAAGCAAAACAAACCATTCTATGCTCTTTTAAACCAGAAAACACAATGCGCAGGTTAGTTGGAAAATGTTTTAGAAAAATAATAAATAAAAGCATACCAAGTATAACCTTTCCAACAAATTACAATGTAGTTGTAACATCAAAAATATAGAAAACCATGATGACGGGCGGGAAGGGATATTAACTTCATACATGTTTATGCTTACACAATTGAGTCTCCTGCATGGGCATACTGAGCCTGAGTGACTGCAGTGCATCACTCGAGTGCCCTGTGAGCTCAGTACTAGCCCCTTCAGACTTCTCTAGCGTCATGGGTGGGAAAGCGGCCACACCTGGAGAGGGCTCTTGACTGGAGTTGATGGGTGAACTGGCGCTCTGAGGAAGAGCTGTTGGAGGCACAGGGCCATTCAAACAGACCTCCTCGGTGGCACCAAGGCACTCTGTCTGTGTGTCCCCATGTGGCGTCATGTCTGAAATGACCGGACCTAAAAGTGTAGAGGCAACAGAGCAGCTGTAAGGAGCAAGCCAGCGATCAACTGGAGAAACAGGCTGAACAGCTACGTTGACAGTATTTTCAAAAGCGGCAGAAAGCAAGTATCGAGAGTAAGAATGCTTGGAATTAAATGAATGGAAGCTATTTCGTATAGTGATAGTTTATCATTATAAATACATGCATACAAAAATCCAAAGATCAAAAAACCACAACCTAAACTTTCCTCATTATATATATATATATATTTTTTTTTTTACTGGTATTGAAGCATTTTCAGCATCTACAGCTAGTTATGTTAGTTAAGAAACATAGCTACTACTTATTTGTATATATTGTATATGTTGTGTGTGATCCCTGTGTGCTCTTACTACTGTCCTGTATGTGTGATGAAACATCGAAATTTCCCCACTGTGGGACAAATAAAGGAATTCTTATCTTATCTCAATCGCAATTATCAACATGTGCATCATGAGACAGAAATTGTGGGGCTGAAGAGTGAATTGTTCTTTCTCATAATATCACTGGAGAAAAAAACCAGGGACAGCCAGCATGTGTCATTAACAATGTTTGCTTTAAACACACAGAATTGAATTTAAGTGTTTGCGCCTGCCTGTGCACATGAAGTCAAATTGAGCTTTGGGCTAAATCGACTTGCTTGTCCATCCACTTTTCACATAATCACTGCTCAACACATTTTCACTGCATTTCCATTTCCATTTCCTTGAAGTCACAATTTGGATCACTATCAGACATCACATTCATGAAGCATTTTATGAAATCATGTAAAAGATCAGAGGCATCGAAACAACATAAACAACCTGTTCACTTTTAAGTGGGCATTTGGACTAGGGCTAGGCAATAAATCGAATTTAGGCAAATAATCAACTTTTGAAAAAAATCGAATTTGTGAAAAATATAAAAATCATGCAATCAAATTGAGTTCCAGCAACATGAATTATACTTGCAATATCAGCACAGTCTGTACAAGAATTTTATAATATGTACCAGGGGAAACAAATTAAAAATAGTTTTGAAACTTGAATATTGAGCAGAAAGATCCAAAAATATGTTTAAGGGCAAAGTCTGTCTTTGGTGACTTTAATGAAAATCAATATAAAATCAAAATCATCCAAAGCAGAAAATAAAATCGAGATTTTACTTTTTTGCCATATCGCCCAGCCCTAATTTGGACACAACAACTACTTAATGTGAATGGCAACACTGATTGTGACAAATGCATTAAGCTTGGCAATGTGTAGACGAATACATACAAATTAGATTTCAAGATGTCTGTATAAAACTTTGAAGCATTCATTCAGATTATCAGAAAAGACCCAGTAGCTGAACATATTTTCTCCACACAGACAGAATTAAAGTGCAATATCAAGTCAAGAAGCACTTACCATTCGGCAAATTCCCATTAGAGGTTTTTCCTTGATTTGGTTGAATAAATTGTGTCGTCGTTTCCACATCAGTCTGATCAATGGCTTGCGGTTGCGAAATGACATTGCTCCTCAGTTGCCGTTCTTCATATTTGTCTGCTTTCACTGTTTCCATGGTTTCCATTGGGAAAATTCTGCCAATGATTCTTTGGAAAGAAACTCTTACAGCAGCATCTCAGTGTGTGGGTCAGCTGTGGGCAGGACGTCTGTCAAAACAAAGCTATTTTCACTTCACTGTTTATTATTCCAGCTTTATACATTTTGTCATGCTGTAAACTCTACATATGCATTTTATTTGTATATTCACCTTTCATTTTAATCCCATCGAGAATAAAAACCTCGTTTTCGAAAGAAGCCTGGTTGTTCTGACTGTGTGACCGCTTAAGTCATGCAAGCTTGGTTTAATTTAAGGAGTGGGTGTGTGTCAAAGACTAACAAGAGCTTCCCATCACAAATAGAGGCGCCTTATTTATTGAAAGAAATGTGTCAACGCTAACTGAACGTGTGGAGAAATGCAGTGTAATTTGGTCCATTGATTAAAGTATTATCAATAAAAGCGGTAACTGCTGCTTTACATGTTTGAGTAGAACACAGTAACTACGCTGGCGAAGATACGTCGTGTTCACACAAAACATGTCGATGCAGACATATTTAGTGTGACAGGTATTTCATGTGACAGTGACAGAACGCCTTATTAACCTCTGATAGAAATAACTTAACAATCTATTACGTTAGAGAGACTATACAACTGAAACACAATCAATTGAATGTGGATAACAGGGTATTCATGAAGACTGTGTTATGAGTAAGTACAAATATATCATTTTTAATGCAATGAAAAGTCATGTCGTGTTAGCTTCATAGCTAGCTACGTTGTTTATGCTACGACAATCCTCTGTTAGCATAACGTGCTAGGTTTTCCAGTTATAGTTCTATATATCTCTGCAAAGATCTGCTCTATCAACACACACAGTACACTGTATGAGTCTACTGCAACAGATTTCAAGGATAATGTGCAGTGCTGAGCATGACAGATGCGTTAAACGTGTTTAAACACAGCGAAACGAACCTTTGACGAGCTTCGCCTTTTACTACGTGGCTGTTTGGGATCCGTTCCTTTGTATGTCCGGTGGGGAAAAGCACACGTCTCATAAGGTTCCGCGTCATTTTTGAGGCAGAACATTTGATGTAACTATATTGAAATATCATGGATCTTGTACATTCATGATTATTGGGCGTAGTAATTAATTAATTAAAATAATTAAATTTACATATCAAACTGAAGGGAATAGCTTGTAATCATAATAATAATAATGATAATAATGATAATATTAGTATTGTCATTATTAATAATAATATAATTACTTCTACTACTACTACTAATACTACTACTACTAATAATAATAATAATAATAATTATTATTAATATTATTATTATCATTATTGTAATTATTATTATCATTATTATGATAATGATAGTGACTCATTTGTAGGGACTTCCTATTGCTAATTTCTTTGTTAAGCCTTTTTGAATTAAAAGTGCTATATAAATACATTTCTAATGATAATGGGATTACTTTCAGAGGCTGTAACCCTGGCAGTCAACTGGCAGTATAATGAAAGCTGAGGTACCTAACTTTCAAAGAAATGGAACCATGCAATGAAATCCATCGAATCCATCTTGCTCTCTAACCAGTTTGGGTCTACTTTTCACATACATGTATTTTTATGTAATTTTTGTACCTAAAGATCATTATGTCGTTTTTTTTTTCTCAGACAGACATGTAAAAAAGAGAGGAACACCCTGACTGAGACAATTAGCTCTCGAACCATAGTGTATAAATATGACTCACATAGCTCCTTCTTACATTTGATTTGTTGACACATTATACTTTTACAAGACTCTTTCTGTTTGGACAAACAATGTATGTATGAAACAAGAAAAAGTTGAAGGCAGATGTAATTCCTCATCTGGGTAATTTCAGAGCGCTTTTAAACACACGTGCACATGTTTTGTACATGTTAAAGTTGAATCCAAGCTTGCCATGTGCTGCAGCTCTCCCACAGTGAAGGAGGCTGCAGCCATAGGAGGGGTTCACTGGGGCTGTTTGCGAGTTCACGCATGGACGATGAAGCGCGCTCCCGACACTTCAGGTGAATGAGAGAGAGAAGGAGAGGACACGGACACGGTTCACTGTGCGTCGCACCAAAACGGAACAATTAGTGGAAAATGTGCAGTGTTGCGTCGCTCGGGGCGCCTGCTTTTATGACAACATACCTACTCTTCGTGGTGGGATGCGTTGCACAGAAAGTAAGTTTATTTTCTTTTATTGGCTGCAGATAAAACATTCACCACCTCCAGCACAGTTTCGAGCACACTTCCCCAAAAACTCACTTGCTTCAAAACAGACACGGAATGCGCACGGACACAGATTTTCAGCACTTGTTTTGGTCGTGCAGTCACTTTATACTATTTGAGTATAAAAGGTTCACACTTGTGGCAGATTTGGATGCGATACCCCGTGCTGCATAATTTTGTGAAGCTGAAATGTCATCTTAAATATCATATTGGAATTTCTTTAAAACACTTTTTGCGAGTTTGTTCTTCTGAATAAAGACGTATATTGTTGTGGCATATCAATCACGAGGCTTGATAATTATGCAAACGTTTGTGAGATTTAAATTCAGATTTGTTTATATATATTTTTAGTAGAGCAAACCTATTATATTTTGTAAAGGGTCTATAGGGCCTTTTTAAATCATACATATTGTTTTTATATTATGCAAAATACTTTTTAAACCAGCTAAAATATACATACACATATATCGGTTGTGTTCACGTTTTGCACATTTCCTCATGTCCGACGCAATGTATTCGTTCAAAGGGATGTTTTGATGGCACGGGCTTGTTTTGATGTTGCTGCACTTCACAGAGTTGGGGAATGGCATGCGGAGTCCAAACTAGTGAAATGAGAACCACATTGGGAGCATGTTAACCTTATGTTGTGTTTTCATGCTCACAGAGGAGTGTTCCCCAAGTTCTTGCCCCTGACAACCTGATCAAAAGTTGCCTCTGATGAACAAGAACACAAACAGACAAAGGGTTGATGGGTCCATGTTTTCATTGTCCTGTCACCACTGTCTGTAGATTTGTGTTATCTCTGGTGGAAAGTTGGTTACAGACTTTCAACTGGCAAAGACCTTGTTGTTTATTTAACTTGACAATTTATTCATTGTAAATTTGAAACTGTATATTTTGTGTCTGTTATTGGACATGCTTGGTTATTTCCATAGGGCCTAGAATTGAAAGAATGCTAGTTTGGTGAGACCTGAATTATAATGGTGAGAGTGGAGCTGTCATGGAGAGGCACAGTCTAATATATTTCACTCTAAAACTATTTTTGTCGTTGTCGTACCAGCTATTTTATTTTGCTTTTTAAAAGGTATTTACAATCACATTTGTAAATAAAAAAAACATAAAAATGGTATGAACTAAACCAAAGTTGCACACACATTAGACAGTGATGTACAGATATGAATGGGTCCTCAAATGTTGTTATAGAGGCTGGTGTCATAGCATTCACGTAAAGGTCTCCCCCATGACGTCAAACCACAAGATCACATTTTTATCTGTGTAGAAACTGCGGCTTTAACCTGTCACAAATCGTCCTCTTCCACGGTTAGTGACGGCTCGGCGGCACAGTTCTTAGAAACGGACAACAAAAGCCCGTACTATATTGAATTGTCTGCGTCTCCAGCTTTAGTTCCTGTGTGCATAGGGTGCTCACTATCTGTGCAATTATCTGCCTGAGGGGACACGGTAAATGACGCTTTGTCCTCCGCTTCTCTTTTGAATTAAGTTGATTTACTGAATGGCATAAACAAGTTTGGAATAAATCTCTTCTGAGCCATCGAAGTTTGTCAGCTCATAATTGACAATAAGTTATGTTAATGTTATCCTTCTTCGATTTATCTTAGGATGGTTTAAAAAGCAATGAACTAAATAACTGCTAATTTTCCTTGGCAATTAAGTAGATTTATGACATCCTTTGTGAAAAAGCTGTCCTTGGACATCATACAGGAAATTCATGTTTTAATTGTTAATATGTTGGAAGAAGTGTCTCTCAGAAAGTGCTGTAATGAAATCATAAATTGTCTTGAAATGTCTGCATGTGGGAAAGTAGTTGTATTCACTGTAACATTGATTAACTGCAGTTTCTCTTTACTGTACAGTCTTGCAGAAAGACTGAGGTTCTGCAGAGAATCTAATTGCAATAGATATGTTCACAGCAATGCATTCCAAAATCTGGAAATCATTTCTCCAAACTTGTTGAAACCACTGTGGAGATAAAGGTCAGGATTCTCCACAGGGACCCTGCAGTAGTGAGCACAGTGGCAGCGGTTTAAACCACACACATACAATTCACTAGGACCACATAGAGTCTGGCCGGCTGACCCCGCGCTCCTCCAAGAGCCTCATGGTCACGATCATGACCTCCGCCAGGGGTAATGGGATCACCAGGGATTCTTTGTGTGTCTGTTTGGTTGTTAACAACTTGACTCTAGCAGTTATAGGCGGATGTTGACAAAACTATCTGCAAAACTTGGACCAAGAAAGACAATTTTAGATTTTGGAGGGGATTTGGAGCATTGCCTGGATCTGGGAATTTCCTTGAGCTGTGCCTCTTGGCAGAGGTCTGTGCTCTACATGTGAAATTCTTGTTCCTATATTGATTGCTCAACAAATAAATGGAACATTTCAAAATTTTCACCATGAGCACATTTTTTATATATTGTAACAAATGAGATTATTCGATATACTTTATTCAATATACTAACGTCTGTAATGAAGTTTATGAAATGTTATTAAATGTGTACAAGACAATGCCAAAAAACTTTGTTCATTTTCAGTGCACTGTATCATTAAAAGACGACCATAAAAGTGACTTATTCAACCATCTACAGCCAAAATACAAAATATCCCCACACTATTCTTCGACAATAGTACACAGTTTAAATATATAACCACAAATTCTATCTTTCAGCTGTTGTTTATTGTCATGTGATATATTGATGAAGCATTTTTTGTGACAGGCCAAGAGTGAGAAGATTAAAGAACTGTGCAGAGGCCAGTGCTGCAGGGGGAGATGGATGTTCTTGTGCTCGGCCTTGCACCGTTATTTGTAAATGTCCTGAATATGCTGTGTCCAACATGAGGCAGTAAGAGCGCTGACATCACACAGGAGATATGTGATAAATTTGTGGCTCAGATATCAGTGCCGTCCACAGCTGTGAGAGTGACCTCAGGAAGCCTGCTTTCAGCCTCCGATGTGACGTTTCCTTTAAGCTGTTGTTCTTATTGGCACACTGCTTTATTATGAATATTTGTGGATGTGCCCATGGAAAAATGAGTGGAAATGAATCATAAATCCACTAAATTAATTATTCTCTCTTATTGTTATTGTTGTTGCAGAAGCGTTTGTTGAGTAAACTCGACGATAGTGCTCCCATGTGTGGTCTGTGTGCGGTTGGTACTGCTGGTGTGAGCCTGTGAAGTAGTGTCACTTTTCTCTTCAGTAAACAGGGCTGGGAGGATTCCTGCCCCTTTCGGAGGGGCCCGCCTGCCTCTTTATGAGCTTTTCCCGACTGTTAATGCATGAGAGCATGCTGTTTGTGTGTTAACAGTAATTCAGTTGGAGGCAGCTCATGTTGCTGGGATTATTATGATCATATTGCATCTTAATTCATACATTGACTTGGACCAACTGAACATAATTTTCAAATCTATAATGTGTTAGATATGAGTTCAGTTCATATGTTAATACATAATATAAACAATGTAAATACACTGCTATCGATTTCTGATTTCTTTTTTTTTTCTTGGCCATTCTTTGCAATTTTACCTTTTTGTTACATTCTTAATACCACCAGGAGCAATGTCATATTGTAAGAATATAAATGTCTTAAAACAACGAAGGGGCTTTCCAAAAGCTGTAACTGTTTTGCTGAAAATGTAATTTGATGCAGTTATTATGGTATGTACTTCTGTTGATAAAACAGGGGTTCCAGGTCTAATGTCAACATGCAATTATTTAATTACAAAAATCATCTGCACTGCTGCAGAAAGAGGCATACTCTTGCCATTGTAATGTTTTGTCATGAAAAATGCATCCTTGAATAATTAGTGGCCAGAGTGTGTGGCCTGTGATGTAACTGAACAGAGATGTGTGGCATTATCAGAATGTCCCATTTCTATTGGACACTGTGGCAGCGGAGCCTTTTCATGGGTAGTGTAGCATGCACATTCAGAGCTGTGGACGTAGAATATTTTCATTAGAATACCAATACTTTTAATCATATTTACATAATAGAAGCCTAATAAGATAATGTATATTTACAAAAAAAGACATGATATAAAATCTCTCCCATGTTCAGTTGTTTTCTTGATTCTGGAGTTGGGACACTATGTCCTTTCCGGGCCCCAGTCATGGCCCACATTGTGAAGGGGTTCCTTCATTGCGCAACCTTTGCAGCAAACACTATGAACCCCAAATCAGCTAAGCTACTCTCCTCATCCTTTGTGGCAGTGACATCTGGCCCCATTCAACATTCAACATTTTGACATAATTTCGAAAGAATTAGCGGATTTGTACTAGGCTGTGAAGATATGAAACACTTTTAGACGATAAAATCATAGTCTTAAGTTTTTTTCAGTTAAAATTATATGTGCGTAGAATTGCATGTCCACAAACCTTGTTTTAGGCTTGAAGGAGGGTCTCTCCTCCATAATAACGCGTAGACTTTTGTCTATAGGAAGCATAAAACCTTTCCTTCTCCATGGAGAATGTTCTTAAATAGTTTTAATGGGTTTCCCCACACCCACAACGTCAGTTTGAATGTAGAGTATAAATCTCCTTTACCTGTGGACATGGTCTGCAGTGCACTTGTAGGACATAAAAATAAATGTGCTTGACGGATGTTTTCAGAGCTATAGTCTGAATGCTCCAGATGAGGAGCATGTACAGTTTCCCTTTTTTTAAAAGTGGATTTTTTTTATTTTTTTTTGATTATATGAGACCTTATGTAGGAATGAGAATGATGAATGAATATGACATTAAAATCAGGGTACATTTTAGGGCTTCACTTCTCCCTCAGGGTATGAGCACCCTGTTTTAAAGGTCTTTCAATTCAATTGGAAACAGATAGACCTGTTGGCTGCCGTTTTTCTTGTTTTGTTTTCTTAAAATCTAGTCCAGCATGGTGCCTGTGTAGTCTATAGATAATATTTGTGTAGCCATAATATATTAATATATATTTTTTGGCTTGGTTGTTTACTGCTCAGCAGGGCTCACGCACAGTCGCTGGCTCATGATTCTGGACAGTCCTATAATACCCTGTCTTGTCTGGGACCAGATATGTGCAATAAGCAGTGGACCTGGCTGTGAACTCCTCCACTGTATCAAGCCTGAGGGAAGCTCAAGCCTCTGGGCTTGAGTCAATGGCCCTCTCCTCAACACATGAATGAATATGTGAACATGAATACTATACCTTAACCAAGGGGATGTTTGTTTTAATGAATGCATTTAGTGGGAGATTTATTATTTATGGAGCTTTCAAAGGATACATCTGAGTTTAAAGACCCAATTGTCCCTTGTGGCTTTGTTTCTGTCCAACAATATTGGATTTTGTAATGATTTTAGGCCCGACAAGGGTCCAGTCGCTGCCCCGCGGTGTTAGCATGTTACCTGTTCTTCACGGGGATATTGAGTTCAGTCCAAGCGCTACAGCCAACAGGAAAGCTCATAAACACGCAGCCCCCCTACAATGTTTTGTCTGAGCTGCCTGGCCAGCTACACATCTGCCTCTACTTATGCCCCAGGTCGGCCTGCCTCTCCACGCACCTGGGATGCATTATACCCAGCATGTTTGAAGAAATGCCCTCCCCAAAGGTTATCCACAACTGCAGAAACTGAAGCTGGGTGCATCACTAAACACGAGATCATGATAAGAGTGGACATTCACCCTTTCTCAGTATTATAATTTTTTTCATTGGTTTTATTGTTTCATTTACTCATTTATTGTGTTGAAAGGGATTTATGCACTTTTCCATGCATCAAAATCTTAATCTGTGGCACAAGGGAGGCCTGGCTGCGTCATTATTTTGCCACAAATCGACTACTGTATGTCAGCACATTTGTATAACCTGAGACTGCCTATTTAAGTATTTAAAGATATAAAATTGTCCACTCACCTTTGGCCCTCCGCGGGCAGTTATCCCTCTCTAAGCTCGGGTCCTCTACCAGAGGCCTGGGAGCTTGAGGGTTCTGCGCAGTATCTTTGCTGTTCCTAGCACTGCACATTTCTGGACCGAGATGTCCGAGGTTGTTCCAGGGATCGCTGTAAACACTCTTCTAGCTTCGGGGTCACTGCCCCGAGTGCACCGATCACCACGGGCACTACTGTCACCTTTACCCTCCAGGCCCTCTCCAGCTCCTCTCTGAGACCTTGGTATTTCTCAAGCTTTTCATGTTCTTTTTTCCTGATGTTGCCATCACTTGGAATTGCCACGTCCACCACCACGGCTTTCATCTGCCCTTTGTCTACCGCCACAATGTCAGGTTGGTTCGCCATTACTATTCGGTCGGCCTGTACCTGGAAGTCCCACAGGATCTTCGCACGCTCATTCTCCACCACCTTTGGAGGAGTTTCCCACTTGGACCTTGGGGTTTCCAGCCCATACTCTGCACAGATGTTTCTGTACACTATGCCAGCCACTTGGTTATGGCGTTCCATGTAGGCCTTCCCTGCCAGCATCTTGCACCCTGCAGTTATGTGTTGGATCGTCTCAGGTGCGATATATACTGTATATATATCATGTACATTTTAAACATTCAATGCATACTACTGCATTAAACTGTGAAAAGACAATCAATGTAAGCCCCAAAATTATCCATACAGGAATATAGATGTTTTAAACCAAACATTTGAAGCCAACCCTTTATTTATTGTAAGAAGCAGGTTTTGGACAACCTCATAAAAAGCGGGTCAGCACCGGAACAGTTGAGGAATGCACACCTTTAATACAATAAGGCAGATGAAGCAAAATGTACAACAAGCAAGTAACCTTAGAAGACACGCTACAGGTGTTTCGAACGGTTACCCACAATGCATCCGCACTCTGCTGTCGTAAGATACATGATCAGATAATTGTGGAACGCGATAACATCAACATTGTGCAATGTCCTGCCTTGTGGTGTCGTGCAAGCCATGCGTCAGTGGGTGTTTGCTTGATGCCAGCATATGCGCATGGTGATATGGGAAGCTCATATTTCAAAGGTATGACATGCGTAACTTGATTGTTTTGTGGTTGCAGGTGTATTTTGACTGTGGTGCCAGGGTGGATGTGGTCGATGCCCAAGGCCTCATTCTTTCACCTGGATTCCCCTACAACTACTCCTCTGGGACGCATTGTGTGTGGCAGTTCTTTGTGCCCATTGACTTTCAGCTTATCCTGGAGATATTTGATTTCGACGTGTTTGAAAGCCACGACGCCGCAAGCCAGTACTCGAACATAGGCAACTTTGAGGACTCTGATGAAGAAGTGACGTTCATTCAAGGGCGCTCGGTGTCGGATGATGCGTCAAAAGAGGATTCTGCGAAAGATCAGCAATCCTTCCCCGATGCACAAGTCAAACAGGTAGTTCTCCGAGACCAATCTACGAAAATGGAGCTTACGAAAGTGTCAAACTCTGCCAAAAGATCAGCCGATATAAGTCCAAACTCTGCACAACCGTCTCTTGTTGTGATTCCCGGAAGTCTTTCTCCCAACGACAAATCCTCAAGCCTTCCCAGTGCAGAAACTACAACCGTTTTATCAACTCTTTTTACCGAATCATCGCCCGTTAGCCCTGAAACACAGCAGCCAATCCTCGATGCGTGCCCACATGACGTCTTGTACATATCGGACCTTATCACATTCGCCTCTCGGTTCTGTGGCTCAAACAAACCTCCCAGTAGCCAGTTAGTGTTCGGGTCAGACCAGGAAATGGTTGAAGTCATAATGGAGCTAATAACGACGACGCATTGGGGCCGCGGCTTCGCTCTTCTTTTTCATTACCATAACCTGACGGAACCAGGCGCCACAAGGAGGAATGTGACGTTTGCATCCAGTACAGTGGACTCTCTGCTGGCTACTGTGAGTGGAGCGGCTTTCCTCGCCCTAATCCTGACCAGTGCCCTCTGCATCATATTCAGGTGAGTTTTGCATTGGTAAAAAGTCATATTTAGGATGTTTGGCTTTACAATAGGAGCACAGATGGAAGACCAGAGCATATGACTCCCATGTTAGGTTTTTTTTTTACTCAAAGAAGTCTTATTATGCAACATTTACAGTTTTTTTGTTTGTCTTTAACCATGTTAAATCACTGCTCCTTCATCAAAAACATATCTAGAGTTGTTTTTAGATCCATTCTCACTAATATCTGGAACTTCTGGCACAAATTGTCTTCCGTCTAAAAACTTCTGTCTCAGTCCTGTAATTTTATGATGTCATTCTAACTCTATGACATCACATACAGAGCTGTCAAGCTTTTTAAACAATTGTGTCCATAAATCATTTTTGGTAGTGAATTTAAGTTTTTTTACTGCTGGAAACGTTTGAATTTGGAAATAAAAATTTAAATCAACTCTTCCCTCTGGTGGTAGCATAGGGAGTTACAAGTGGATTGCTTTTTTTTTTTTACTTGGTTCATATCTTAGAACATATTTCTAAGATATTATTCAAATTATTCACATCATCATCTTTAATGGCTTCAAAAAATGAATTTGCTATGGCTAAAAGTATTGAAGCGTTTCATTTGATATTTTAAAAGACACCACTTTAACAAGTAAGCATGAATGCAGTAAATATTGCCGGAGCTTTGACTGGTGCCTTGAAGGACAGTAAACGGCCACATTAGTGTCCATGTGTGTGTACACAGTCAGCCCTCTGTGATGTTGACACAGCTGAAGTGTTTGAAGTGGTCACCTCCATGATGAGGAGGCTTTGGCTCTGACCACCGGACCTCCTTCATGTGGCCTGCTCTCACCAAAAGCAGCAGCTGGCACTGATTTTACACCAAACACACATATGGAAAGAGCATGGCTTAGAGCTGGGAGACTGATTCAATTAGAATATTTCCAGTGACAGTCACTTTTCTGTGTCTGCTACCCACTTGTTATAATTGAAATTTAGTTGAGTCATCTCTTTGCTTGGAATGTTCCTGAGTTTGTTTTAAAACTTACATTTTATTCAATTACAGATGTTTTTAGTGCGAAATAAATTCTAATTCCTCTACACAGAATTGACTTGTTGACCTTAGGCTGCCACAACCGGCCAATTTGAAAAGACTGAACAGATCCATTCAAAAAGCCAAACACCAATTGTTTCATCTGTGTTATAGCAAATCAATGCAGTGAAAACATTTCACCATACCTTCCTTTACACCAGTGATTATCAAAGAAGCCAGCATGAGACACTTAACTGGGGGGGACGTTTTACAAAGCTTTTTACTGTCTTTCACAAATTACCAGAATACTTGGGTATTATATACATTGTATATCTATTGTGGAGTAGTACAAAATTAGCTCAAATAAGATATAGACTGTTTTTATACATGATTTATTATTATTGCTTTATTAATTACCAGTTGGGGCAACCACATTTGTGCATGGCAGCGTTTGAGAATTTGTGTACACAAATGAGTAAAGTTATTCAACAAAGAAAAATGTCAATCTAATTAAAAGGCCTATTGTCATTGTCTTCCTTTTGAATAAACCTCCCTTTGAACTGGTAAATTAAGCAACCCCATATAGACGACTGTGTGTAAATTGCTTTGAGTTTATGACAGGCGCGAGAACCACCACAGTTTATTATGATTTGCGTTAATTTCCATCTCGGCTCAGTGTCTCCAGCCTTTCCGACAGGCACAATAACTCCACGGGTTCTCACTGTTAATGACGGGGAAATTGGAAGCATGTGTTCAAAAAAAAAGAAAGTGCAATTGGCAAGAACAACAACGCAAGTCATTTGGAAGCCAGGAAACGCATTGCCATGATACGTCAAGCCCTGGAACAAGTCTTTGTGGGGTTTTTTTTTCTCACACTCTCTCTTTACATAATTAAGACAAAATATAATGCATTAAATATGATGAGGGCTATTTACATTTTTTAGAGTGTGAAATGATATGCAACTTTTATTGTGAATATTGTTTTTGTGTATTTGACCTTGTAGTGACCCAGTATCAGTAACAGTGGTCCCTCAGCAGAGAAAACCACACAAAACAACTCAACTCAAAGTTTTTCTTGTCTCAAAAGGGAAAAATGGTTGTATGTAGTGGTGAATCACAACACGATAATTATGATAATGTAGACAATCAAAAGACCACTGTGATGGAAAGTGAAACGCGCCATGCACTCTTACAGACCAAATGTGCAACAATATCAACAACAACATATTATTTTTAAAAAGTTGCATACTGCCCTTTTTTAAGTAGAAAGTAAATGGTCAAACATGTATGAAGGGATGACAATGATTTCAGCCTGCAACTCCCTACGCTACCACCAGAGGGAGGATTTTAATGTATTATTTTTTTTCCAAATTTGAAAACAAATTGAAATTACCGGCTGTAAACACAGACATGCAGGGCGAAAGAGTGTGATTTCACTTGAGAAATGAATTAATGAGCACAACTTTTGCTTTAAAATACTAATGCAAAACCTCTTTAAGCGTCATACTATTACAAGAGACAGGAGGTTTTAGACAGAAGGGGCGGAGTAAAATGTTTGTTCTAAAAGTTACTGATAATGGCATGGATGAATCTAAAATCAGGTCGGTGTTAATTGAGGGAACAACGTCGCTTCGCATGTTATGTCTCTTTTAATTTACTTAGGTAAAAACTTTGTGAAATAACAGTGACTGGGTTAACCACAGCACACATATCCTGCACGATCCAAAAAGCTTCCAAAAGGTGGCTGAGCATCGCTGTGGGAGATTCCCTGGTTTGACCGATGGCTTGTAATGAACTCATTCATGTAAGATTAATGTGTTAATAAGTGGGTATTTCAAGTATTTTCACATGCTTCATTGAGTCATGTAACATAATCTGACAAGATGAAAATGCATGGATGAGCAGATATTATAGAAGGTTAATGAATCGACCCCATGAATCAGACTTTTGTTGACATTTGAAACTGTTTTTGTGTTTAATGTTCATTTGTTTTTACAAGTCTATTAAATGACACATTTCCATTACGAGGAAATAAACATAGCCTGAACAGAAACCACAATGTTAGCTCCATGTACTTGTGGCATTTGTGTGAGTGTGAGTTTGTGGTTCTCCCAATAATCCAATGGGACTTTTAAATAGAAAAATGACCACTGGTATTTTGGAAACTTGTGGTTGGTTCAGTGAATCCATTTCACTGTAGGCATTCAGTCACTCCACATTTGTTGGTAAAAAAGTAATTATTGGCATTTTGGCCAGGGGAAGATTGCTTGTGGTAAGAATAAATAACCTTGAAAATAATATATTACATTTTACAAAGCTCTTCACAGTCCGCGACCTTCATATATTTTTGATTCATTTGTGGCTTTATGAACCACACAAGACTCATTATGAACTGAATACAAACATTTAGTGATCTCAACAGACAGTTAAAGGAAAACCATTCGATAAAAGTGGGTTAAGAAGTGACTTGAAAGTTGTTGATAGTGCTAGCCTTTCCCCCTCAGACAGGTCGTTCTAGAGCCGAGGAGCCCGAAACGATAAGGCTCGATTGCTGTTCGTCCGAAGCCTAGACCTTGAAACTTTACAGCAGGAACCAGCTTGAGGAGAGGAGAAGCTTGAAATGATTTACAAAACACACAAGCAGGGGTGATGTGCTCCCTTCTGTTTAAACCAGTGTGAACCAGGCATTTGGAGTTGTGATCGGAGAGGAGGCAGTTGCAGTTATCTGGGCAAGAGAAGATGAGGGCATTGACAACTTCATGGAGATCAGGAGTAGGGAGAACATTTTTTTTTCATCTTCAACAGGATTGGATAGTTTGTTTGATGTGATTGTGGAAGGTGAGTTGAGAGTCGAAGATGATCCAAAGGTTACGAGCGCATAGAGTATTTATTTATACAGAAAATGGTCTTGTTGAAGTAACATCTTGTGGACCAATCAGACCACAGATGCTGTCTTCACCTCTTGAGGTAAAATGTTATTCTTTACATGCTGAGAGCTGATTGGCTGAGTGAGGGCTGGTACTCTCCTTTTCACTGAAAAAGCTGATTTAAAGATGTGACTTCCACACAAACAAAAACATGCATGTGAATGTGATAGAATCAAACTAGTTTTATAGATTTTTTTATTATAGTTACAGTGAGGTACTCATGGTTTTAGCACAGAAAGCTGCTGGTCATGTAAGTATGCTTTATAAATACATATCCTTCCTACTAATAAATGACGTAAAACATTTATCAAATATTGTTTTACTGACTTTGTTTACGCATGTATATACCTCTGTTTTTGTAGTCTACTGTCTTTGAATCCCCTTTTCTTTTGAACTGTTTTGCAGACCCAAATTCTGTCCAAAAAGAGACAATTCTAGCACATCCAGCAGCCCTGAGGTAAACACATGTATTATATTCTTTGCTTGTCAAACATTTCCCACTTTATTTGCAGCTCTCTGTTCTGGCATCTATTCACAACGCTTCTTAGGTTCCCGGTGTGCTGCTTGTAAAGGATTCAGGGTGACGTGAATGCACCACGTTCAAGAATTTAAAAGTTTATTTGCTATTTGTGCACAAACTCCACACACATTGGATGTTTGTGTGCAGGGCTCTCAGTTCAAGTTAAAAGCATATAGATGGATTACGTTTGCATTTGTAAATTATGCAGAAACAGAAGACACATTAAGTACATTAGATACAAGAGATACTGTGAAAGTAGCAGTGGGGCAAGTTTCGAGTTGTATTTTTTGAGAATATGGAGCCTGTAATTTAACATGAGGTTTAAACAGTACCAATCAATGATAGTTAACGTTGGAATATTCACTGACCATGGAATAAATAAAAACAATGAATTAAAAAAGTGCATTATTTTAGCACCATTTGGCTCAATCATATACATTTTTTAATTTTTATTTCATTTTGTACATGACAGGTTACAAAACTTATCCAAAACAAGATATTCAAGGACAATTGTATGTATACAGTAAATACATAACAAAAGCATCAAAATAAGTAAATAATAACATTCCATTGACCGTAGATAAAAAGTATAAAATTTTCTCATTTCATGTACGAAAGGGAGTGGGAAGAAGTCGTTTCTTCTAAAAGATTAATTTCAAATAGATCTTGATAAAAATACTGATAACTGACAACTAATAATGGTTGTGTATATTACATAATGTGGCTCAAAACACACACATAACACCTACATACTCAGCTAACTTTGTTTTGCTCTTGAAACTGTCCGCTCTCCTGTGTCTCAGACGTAGATGCAGGTCTTGGGCTTGAGCAGAACATGAGCTGGGTGGTTAGAATCCCCCATGATCCTCTCTGCTCTGTTATTGCGTAGAACAGGTCTATCCTGCTGTGAGACTCAAGACATAGTTGATAATGTTGATAATAATGGCTCATAGCTTGTAAAATCACCAAATAAAACATCTCAGAAAAATACTTTTAGCCATAATCCTTAAAATTATAGCAAAGTAAAAGAACGGGAAGATATTCACACGTTACTGGTAGATACTAGTGTAAGTATGGATGCTAAAACAGTTATAAGACAGGACATTATTGGACCTTTTCTGATCACATTTTGACCAGACTTGTATTAAAGAAAACTGCAGACTCTGAACGAGAAAAAGAGGGTCTCAATATTTCTGCACGTACTCACCGGCTGTATACAGATGGACTATTCTAAACGCTGAGCTCACTGTAGCGCAATAGGGAAGTGCTCATGGACAGATTTTTGCTCCAACTCGCTCTGGCTCCTGTTGACTTACATTGAAAAGTAAAATCATCCAACTCACCGCATTGGGCTTTAAAAAATCTATGGTTTAGTGCTGTCTGTGATCCTAGTGTTCAATATTGTCTTTGGTCAATATTTATGGCTCATATCTGGATTTACAATCAGCTGCCTTCATTCATTCACATTAGTTTGCAAGTTAAACTATTGGGTGTAAAAAAATCTGTGTTAATTTCATACTTTTGTTTTAACTGGACCCTGTACGAATCCAAAGGCTAGAAAATGCATAGAATTGTGGTCTTGTAATATTGAATCTGACTGATCCATCCATTTACTGTAAACCCTGTTCTGTATTGTTATTGTATATTTGAAGTAGTGTCGTACAAAGATGTTAATGATGATTGTAATTTTAAGAAATGTTATGTCGATTTTTATTTTATGTCTATTTTTATTTTAACTTGTTTGCACCGAGGGCCAAAGCAATTTCCGAGTTTGTGACGTCTTGTTATTCACATGGCAATAAACCAAATCTGATTCTAAAAAATAAAATGCTAATTTATCATTTTAATGCAAGGGATAATAATAATAATAACTGCAATAGTAGCAATAACAATACAATAATACAACAATACAATAACAATTGATACATTATTTTACAACACTCAAGGCGACCAACGTGCTTTGCAATAAAATCCATTAAAACGTTCAAACAAAAGTTACGTGTTAAGAGTGCCAATAGCCAGTCTGAACAAATTAATTTTGAACCTCGATTTAAAAAGGCCAAAATCAGTGAGCACTCGCATATAATAATAATAAAAATAAATAAATAAATCAAAATAATAATATGAATATGAATAATAAAAATGTGTTTTCTTTGCACCTTGATTGTGGTATTTATAATGGTTGTAATGTTTTCAGGTGCCAGAGGGAGTTCCTCACATAGCGCCGGAGCTGAGCGAGCTGCAGCTGATGGCGGAGGATCAGACCGGAGCTGAAAACAAGGACCACTCTCCACCGCTCACAGGTGCTCAAACTCACACATAGCATATGACAACGCAATTGAGCTTTTTGTTGATTGTATCAGTTTCCTTGTTTTATAATTTCAGCAGAACACTTTACAGGAATAATTTCCTAAACTACTGAATCAGTGAAATAAGTGGTATGTTTCTTGATATTAGTACATTTTGTCTACAGCTAAAATCTCCCAATGGTATAAGCACGTTTAGGCAGGGCAAGGTACGTTTAGAAGAAGCCTGTCTCAGATTTTCAGGAAGACTGTTCCAGATTTTATCTGCATAAATATTAAATGCTGCCTCTGCATGTTTAGTCTTGGCTCTGGTCACCAGCAGGAGGCCAGTCCCTGTGCTTATAGATCGACAGAGCGGTCCCCACCCAACACCTGGTTCAGAGAAACCAAGAAATTAATGTATTTTTCTCATATATGGGATTTTAGGAGAAAAAAAGATTTTAAACAACAAAAGATTTTAAACAAGAATTAGAAACAATTTTAAAGCTTGTTCCAGGCTGAACAGTTATGTGATGAGACGAGAAATGTATATTAAAAATGACGTTTTTGAAACTTTATGCCCATTATGGCTCATATCTGGATGTGTGACATTTCACCAAATATGAATGCTTTGAGTTGGTGTGTTTGGGCTGAAAATAATTGTGCTGTATGATGTAGTTACAACATAGCTTTAACCTATGAATGATTTGGATTTGTCTAAACTCTTGAGAAGTTTTTCAATGTAAATGCTCCTTCCTGAACCTGGTACTTGTTTGGTGTGTGTGCAGTCAGTGCTGGTGCTGGAGACACCAGTGCAGAGGTGGATCTGTCTGGTGGTCTGATGGAGCTCGATCTTGGACCTGATGAAGTCTTCATCTCATCACCAGCACCAGGGGTCATTGCTAATCACTTCACTCCACACACGGTAAGAATCTGCTTTGGTCATCAACACAACATACATGTCTGCTAATGAACCAACCCAGTATAAAGAAGCCTTCCTATTATTAAGATATCTTATGTATTATTAAGATTTCTTATATCTTAATAACATATGACAAAAGGTTAAAGAACAAACACTCTCTGCCTGTAACCCCCTCTGCTTCCACCAGAGGGAGAAGTTGAAATCATATTTTTTTCCAAATGTGAAAATTACCGGCTGCAAACTCAAACCACAGGAAAAAATGCACAATACATTTTTAAAGCATTTTTTAAAGAAAGTTCCCCACTGTGGAACAAATAAATGTTTTTTGATCTTGTCTTTTTCTATCGGGATGTTTGCTGCTAGCTTTCCTCTGAAATATGTCTTATTCTACAGCATGACATTTACACATTTATTACTCTTCTAAGAATGTATTTATTTATTTTGTACACACATTTTTGTAAGTAATTTCCAATGTGGTTTTACTGCAAATGGAAAATAAATGAATCTGAATCTGAATCTAAAGTAATTATCATTTTTATGACACTTGCTTTGCACTAATTTAATGGGAACTGCAGCTCTGTTTAAGACAAGAGAGATAAGAGAACCTTTATTCAATGCTGCAGATACAGGACAGGAGTAAGAGCACACAGGGAGCACACAAAATATACTATATAAGTAGCTGTTATGCTTCTTAGCTAGCTATAAATGCATCATATGAGCAGCAAGTAAATATCAATATATCTATCTATATATAGTGTAAATGATATACATATAGGGCAGGATAAGGAGATAAAGTGACGTTCAGTGGACATTCTGAAATTGCAGTATTGCACATTGCACATGATTGCATATTATTACAAAGAAAACACTTGCCATTTTTACTTCCTTTTATAGGGTTAGACTTTGGGATTAGGTTTCAGCATGGCATGAAGTTAATTGCAACATCTGTCCGGTTTCTTTTAGTAATTGTCGCTTTCATGTTTTAATGGTGTTCTGTGCAGCACTTTGCAAAGTCTTCGGCTCACAAAATGTGGTGTACTGTATATAAATAAAGTGGATTGTATTGTGTTGTTTTGGACTGGGTGAAATGCCCTGCTCTCATTGGGTGATCTTCCCACCCACGAGAGATGATCCCTCCTGAACATCGGAGGTGACAGGGCTGTGAATGGCTTGAATTGACCCAGTGTTCCTAATAGGCCTGACACAGTTCTGCCACACGTGGTACTGCAGCTATGAAAAGTATGAAGGCATAACTTGGAAACGCGGATAATTAAAAGATGGGGAGAAAAGTTGGAAGAAGAATCTCAACTAAGTATTTTCTCCGCTCGCTTTTGTATTTCCTCGGAGGGCTGGCATCAAACCGCTCTGGCAGCTTTTTGAAGGACTGGCAAGCGTTTGTGCTGCCTGGGCTAATGCAGAATTATCTACAGCGCCAGATTCCCAGCTCCAATTGTGCGTCTGTTTGTGTGTGTTATGCACACTTTGGCACTCAATGTGTGGTCTGCCTGTGTGTGTCCTCCATACAGACTTTCATGTACATAATTATTGACGAATGGGACAATTAAAGAATCATGCGTTTTTGGAATCTTCATGTCTCAAGAAATGGAACAAAGACTTGTAAGAGGTTTACTCGACACCGGAGAGAGTTAAAGATAAAAAACTAAAAAGTAACTTTGTACAACAAGACCAGTGTTATTAAAAGCCGTGCCGAGTGGCTCACATCAAACCCTGTGTCTGCGCTCAAAGTTGCCATTGTATTTTGAGTAAAAAAAGTAACGCTTTCATGTAAACCTTTCTAATTCTTGTCTAGACAAAGTTAGCTGTGAGTTTCTCTGTGAGGAGGATTATCTCGTTCTCACTCTCCCCGATGGGTCCAACCCCCAAAACCTTCAGGCTCCTTTATCAGACGCAGCTGACCTGCTGACTCTGCTAGAATTACATTTAAATACAAAAGCTGGTTAACCATTTCCTTCTTTTCAGGGACTTTTGGATGTTGTATCTGATATTAAAGAAATATAACTGAAATGTACTGAAAAAATGCTTAAAAGGGAAAAAAGAGCCATAATAACTATTGACTTTTTGTTCAATAATTGATGGGCGATATATTTTGGGTTTCAATATTTACGGTCTGTATATTTTCTTCTAGTTCTTCTTTTGTAATATAATATTTTTTCTGCATAAGATTGAATAAGTTTATCTCTATGGCTAAATATTACTTTATTCTACTGTTTCCACTGCCCAGAAGAATTAAATTTTGCTGCTAAATTGTAAGTGAGTGGCATAAAAAGTAGTTTCAATATTCTCATTTATTGCTCACTCTGCCACAGTTTTGCTGACACACAAAAGCCTTTTAACAATTTCCTTCATTTGAGGACATTTCGTGCACCTTTTTCCATAACCAAGTGCAAAGCATAATTCATAATCAAGCCGCGACACATGAATGACTACTTCAGCAATCTAGTCCTACATTATGAACACAGTGTCCTACCTGGATGGGAGTTTCATTGAGTGAAGACCATGAGGCATCACTTCCTTGCCCAAATACCTGGTATACTGTATATATTCTCACCGTGTCCATATATGATTTGTACAGTGTATTTTTCTTTTAGAATCTCTTTTATTATTGTTACAGAAAGAGCTGCTCACTTTTCTTTTTTTTCCTATATATTTCATATCCTAATGGAAAAATATCCTGATGTCTTTTTGGTCTTTACTGATGTAGGTGTTGTTGCTATAGATGCTATGTACTGGAGTTGTTTTTAGATCCATCCATGCTAAACGTGTCAATCCGCTCTTTCTGTCTAGTTTTCTGCCTATGCCATAAATGTGTTTTTTTTTTTTTCAGGTTAAATAATATTCTTTACAATCACATGGCTGTGGTTGCAGCTGGTAATTGTCAAATTTGGATCAAAAACCCAAACAGATTCATCTCACAGACACAGACCGACAGCAGTGTTTGTTTCAGTATAAATATTCTGTGGAAGACTCATTACACATTAAACATAACGTTTGGTAAATATTCTTATTATTTTCATCAGCCAAAACTAGTGCATAATACTTCTTCTTTAAAACAAGATTTGTTTAGTCTTTTTTATGCAAAGTTGCAAATTATTTCTCATCCCAAGGAATAATTTTCTGTCTGTTTTGTCTGTTTTGCTGCAAATCTTCTTTTGACTGCAATGTGTTTTATTTATTTTTTCGACTACATTTATATTTTCATCTCCAGCGGCGTGAGCGGTTTCTTCGGCACAGTGACACCGGGCCAGGTCCTTCAGGGGACTGGCCTTCTCCGGACTCGTGTGGGAGCAGGTCAAAGTCCGTGAGCAGCTCCAGACCCCGGGCTTGGAGCGTGCGGACCTTCCAGGACTTTTTCCCTCCTCTGCCGCAGCTGCACAAGAAGTGGTGCAGCTGGAACTCCACCAGTCCCTTCACAAAGCTGGTGGACACAGTCAGTATCAGCACAATCCTGTTTCAACTTTTCTTGGGTTATACCAAATACAACGACTAATACTGGTCTTTGTGCCAATACCAAAGAATATAAATGGTATCTTGTTTTAGTACCTGGATGGCTATTTGAACAGTAAAATACAAATTCTTTATGGATCTCAGCTGGACATAAATTTTGAAAATAATAAAAAAGACCCAGCTACAAAATGATCACGCATCTTTCTTTAACTGTACAATAGTTAAAGGCCAGGCAAAAACAACTACTGGCATTTAGGCATACTATTGTTAAAATATACAGCTATTCATAAAAGGATTTATGGAGTTATGAGTTGAGAGTTTGACCTTGGTTGAATGTGAAGGCCAAAATCCTCTGCAAATTGGCGCCATGTCTAGTGATTTTCCCCACAGAAATTCTTATAATTTAAATAGAATAGTTGATAAATAGAAAAATGACTTGTAACTTGAACCTAAATGAAGTCTCATGCTTAATGTAGATGGAAAAGTTTAGAGTCAAAACGATATTATCTATTCTAGACCTTAACGTCAGACCCTCCACCATGAGAGTACATATTTGAATCAAAGTACTACATAATGCGTTTTGATTTCAATGTTTATGGTCAAAATGATAGTACAATCGATTTGTTCAAATGTCCTGATGGCAGGCCTGCTTTTTGCCTGGGCTCATCAAAATGTTGTTTTAGATTAGATTAGATTCCACTTTATTGTCATTACAAATTCTGAACAATGCAACAAAATACGCTTTAGAATTTAAATAGTGCAATGGCGCAAGTGTAGGATATACTATACCTTTAAGAACACAGATAAATATACCTGCATATAAGTGAGACTACAAGCTGCTATTGCTGTACAACAGACCTGGATGAGTCTTCTGCTGCTGGACACCCGAATTTCTCCTACTTGGGATGAATGAATGAATGAATAATTTTATTTCGAGCCATGTCAGACAAGAACAAGGAACAACAGCAAAACAACTGAATAGAAAAAAAACAAAACAAAAAAACAATACAAAACAAATAAACAATAAATTATAAATAACAAAAAGTCAGCTCGAAAAGGAGTGGGAAGAAGTTAAGACTGAGGGATCAATAAAGTATCTATCCATCTATTAATTGCATTATATTACATTATCATGCATCTAATGTGCCTAAATACTTTTATATCGGAAACAAGCTGCACTACAAGCTAACTATACTTGACTTAGTTACAAGAGGCAAGTTATCTCATGCCCAGATGAGCTGGAGGGGGTGTGTGTGGATAGGGAAGTCTGAGCGTCTCTGCTTAGACTGCTGCTCCCCCGACCCAGCAACGGATGAAGCGGAAGAAAATGGATGGATGGAGTTATCTCATTGTAAAAAAGTTGTGTTTTATGTATCAAAAATCATTCGTTGCGGAGACTAAACTGAGCAACACTTCATAATGTGTAATACACCACATTAGCCTCGTCTCTCTGTACGGCGCACACTGATATTAGACTTTGAAGTTAATTTTGTTTATGTGTTTGAGACCATTGTGTAAGAACTTGTCTTTCAACAGGCGCCATCCAGCCGGGGTGCAGATGCCCGAGGGAACGTTGGCCGAGAGGTATTTTCCGATGAGAATTTGGGAAAGACGGACACCAGCACCATCTCCGACTCTCCTATGAGCAACGCGTCTTACCCCCTCACCCAACAGGCACAAAGACAGCGGCGCCTCAACTCCACCAGCAACCTGCGGCGCTCCCGATTCACCGGCCCCTGCTTTGGGCTGCTCTCCGGGACCACTGACCCAGCAAAGACCCTTCCTGCTCAGAGTCCCACCACTGAGCCTGCGCCTGTGTCGTCCAGTGCAGACAGCAGCCAGCCGGGGAAGAGGCGAGGGGAGATCCAGGCAGAGGGGGATCACATCAGCGTCCAGGTTTTTGCCATTTCTGAAGAGGAGGACCGGCAGCCTTTGGTCCCAGCGGAGCATCTGGACCACCCGGCTGCACCCCAAGCACTGAACGGGCTGGGGAGAGGGGTCTATGAGGGGAAAAGGTCAGTTGGAGGTAGTCCTAAGAGCCAAAGGGCCAGAGGAGAGTGGAGGCCATGGGGAAGCCAGGTGTCTGGAGGGGTGATGGTCAGCTCCAAAGCGGCCCATACTGTCCGTGACCCCCAGGTGCCCGTCGGCCCCGCCACAGCCCTGTGCAGTGCCATCCACCAGATGTGACCAAGGGAAAGATTTTATAAATACAGACACTGATGGATCAAACTATGGATTTTAGCTCCACTTCATGAATTGTATATGTCCAGTATTTTTTCACCTGACTTTGTAGATTGTAGCTTGAACTGTGCTAAGAATGAAATTGAAAATGTAGTTTAAAGCTGGGGTACCTAACTTTCTTTTTCATAAATAATTCATGTGACATTGTGTCGTTGCGTGATGTGGACTGATGTGGACTGATTTGTTCACAGTATTGAGTTTTCACCTTATTAGAAAAAGTGTTATCGTTGGCATTCTTGTAAGATATCCCTTGCTGATTGGCTGACTCAGTGTGGTCCGCACTTTTTCACTATTGTGTCAGAAGACGCTGATCTAAAGATGTGAAAGTTACTGATACTTTCTGGTATCTGTTCAATTTGGGTATCGGCAGAGTCGGGCCTGGGAAAACTTTTTTAGCTATTATCTTGCAAGTAACTGTAGTCATAGTATTTAGACTTTGAGTAACAGTCAAAACACTTTCACAGTGTTGGTTATTATCAGCCAATAAATAGTTGTATTACATCAAATCAGGGTATTCGGTAACTCAATATTGTTTGACCGAAACCAGATTTAGCAATATTTCCAATAGTCGCACCAAAATCCAATAATGGATCGATGCATCCCTAGAGAAAAATAAATCCAAATAGTAATATAACTGGTTTTTGTTTGTTTTGAAAGTTATGTACCCCAGCTTTAAATGGTTCCATGTCACACAAGTTACCAAATGACGTTTTGAATAAACAGACGAAACCACGTTGTAGAACTGGAGAAAACTGAGCCACAAAATCTGGATTTCTAATTGGAACAGGTCTACATAGATTTGTCCTCGCTGATACTAATGATTAAATCTTGCACAGCACTATATTCATAGTTAAGTATTTTATATCAAGATAAAAAAAGAATGATTTAATGAAATGTAAAGATCATGAAAGATTTATTCTAACAGTTAGCACCAGATATTGCACTTTGAAGCTCAGAGATATATATGTGCTTCCACCTTATGTAGGCTTTGTACTTTACATTGTGTTACAGAACAGTATTACTGCATAGATTTTACTACGTTGTGTATATACAAACTGGATTGTAAAGGGAAATGTTAAGATTTACTAATATACACTGTTAAAAATATGATTATAGATGTAGCCTGTACTGTATTAATGTCAATTTGTAATAAAGAAGACAAACTTTCTGTTAGAGATGCCTGTGTTTAAGAGAAAAGATCACATGTGGAAGGTTCAATGTAACTTTATTTACCCTGAAGGGCAATTTGGGACAATAAATACAGGATAAAACAGGATTACAATGATCTTTTTAAATTACCAATGATCAAATGTTGAATGTAGTCAAGATGATTAGGTTAATCAACAGTCATGATTCATTCAAACTGAAAAATGGTAATTGTGGTCATTTAAAAGAAAATGTTTTTATTTTATCCCATATAAAAAAAATCAGCATTTGATTAAGTATTCCATATTATGCAACATTTTATTTTTTCATTCATTCAATTTAAATTTGTTTGATGAAAAAAACAAAAGGATAAATACAGAGTTTTTGCTGTTATAGAAATGCAGACAATAAGTATTTCTCATTTCCCAAGATTTTAAATTTTTATTGTTACATTAATTTTATTCCATCAAGTTCTAATAGAGAAGACGAGCAAGTTTATTATCAAAATAGATATCACAAGTCACCATCGCATTAAAACACCTTATCATTGAAACTCATGTCCTGTTAGTGTGAGAGTGTTACTGTACAACATGAAAATCTGCAGCTTATATTCAAGTATGGTGTTGTGTAAAAACAACTATAGTACTTTGTGGTCTGGCGGGTGCAGTTTATATACAGGTACGATTATTAGACAGAGGTATAGTACTGTATACCTCTGTCATGCACTTATGAAGAACTTGGAAGAATGCTAAAGGTGATTTTCTCTCACAAAAACTTGCACAAGTGATGCATGTTGGAATTAAGTCAGTAATGTTTAATTATATAGCGCATTTTACCAACTACTGTAAACACTTAAAATCAATTTCAAACCATCTCACATTTGTAGCCCAATTCTACCATAAGCATAGGAAACCAAATCACACACATGGTACAGAGGCAACTTTTATTTTCTCATGAGGAAAAGAACACATAACATTACAATTAAGAACACATTCACAACAGGTAGTGAAGTCATTAAAACAGGTTTGCATCTGCCTACAAGTGCATCATAATGTAAAATAGTGCGTTGATTGATTGATATCAAATTATCATACAATTATAGTTTACAACATGAGGCCTATTCATACACCTTGGGGAGAATGCGAATGCATAAAGCGCTCGCCCAAAGCCTCTTTAGAGCCGGGGTCTGATTGGAGCGGCGTGGGACTGTTGTTGGCTTAGGGTGGCCAGACCTCCTGTAGGGAATCATTAAAACTGAGCTACCACATCGGCTCGGGCTTGTGCCCTGGACCTGAGCTGCTGAGGAATGCCACTGTGGACCCACTAAGACAGAATGGGAAAAATCTAGATCGAGTGTGCAATCCAAATGGACTATGACTTGAAGCCGAGGCCAGAGAAAGGCTCATTAGAAAAAAGATCAATTTCCGGTAATAGATCTAATTTCTTATCAAAATACTACAATAAGGTCTTACAAAACATTTAGGACTAGCGTTTCTAAAGATTCAACACAACTTCAAGATCCTATTTCACCCAACATGGGGGCTAAATCAAGTCTAAATTAAGACGGAAGATCACAGGTAGATTTGTCTCTTAATTGAAAACGGAAAGAGGGCTCATACATACAGATGATGTGCAATTACCTACAGTATTACCTCCATATGTCATTACTTAGAAAATAAAATGTTTAAGGCACTGTAAAACTAATGACTGTCCTCACCTCAGTTTTACAACAGCAGAAAATTAAACATGTACTAAATAAGTGGTAAAAAGTTCTATAAATGTTCTATTTGAGCAAAGCCTCATATTGCCGCCTGACCTCCACAGACTACACGGACCTAGTGCTCTGCGTCATAACTTGCGCTAGGGTCCCATAATACTCGTTTAATCACCTTGAAGATGATTATCCAGAGGAAAGCATAAAACAGGGCCCCTTTCCCTCTTACAGCATTACAACGCATTGATCCCCTTCCCACAGACATGAAATCCTTTACAAACATCACATGGGATTATGAGTCCACGTTAGTATGTCTGGGCTTTGACATGGCTTTTGCATAGGAACAAAGTAATACCATGGAAAAACTAAGGAAACGAGATTGTGCAGTGGGGTTACATAATCTGAAAGAAAAAATAAACAAATGGATGAAGACCTTTTCATTGATATGGTGTCTAAACAGTGAACTCAAAGCACTGTGTGGTCACCATTTGGTCAGTTTCACTTATCCTCTTACAAAAAGATATTGTTACTGTAGGGCCTTGTTTTTCCATTAATGAAGAACACAATTATTACTATAATGTCATTTTTAGCCTAAACATTAACATAATAATCACCTAGGTGTAGCTTCTACACCTACAACTTCCTAATAGGATAAAATAAACAAGTATTATTCTTCCCATAATCAAAAAGGTTCAAATGTTGGAATTCTTTTCACACTGTATGTTTCAGAATTGTGCGTTAGGACTGTTACCTAACAATTTAAAACATGACATATTAAGAATGATAATAACTACAGCCTTCGCAGCACTGCATGTATCCTGAAGCTGAAGGACAAACTCCTGCACATATGAATCACATTATAGCTACAGTGTTTGCTAACATCAGGAGGTAGTACTAGTCACAACAGATGTAGCCTGAAAAAGGCCGATGTGCAGATTTGTAACATATGTTTACATTTTAGTGCGTAGGAATATTCTGTAAAATCCCAAAAGGCATTACACAAATGAGTATTGATTGTAGTTGCATATGTTTTGCATATCAAAAGATTGACAACTCAAGAACAAAATCATTGTACTGTAAAACATATTCCTTCAAAACGATGAAAGATCGTTGAACTCCTTCAGCTTTTAAACCGTGTCTGCTCACAAATGTGGTTAAATTTCCTGAAAGAAAAAAATAATCAAATAAAAACAAAATGTAGATATAATATACATGTCTTTACAATGGCGCCCTCTAGTGATCATTAATATGAAGAGTAACTATTTGGTGCAAACAATTTATATGCGTTTTTTCTTTTCCTTTGCACTGTTATTTGGGCTCAATAAATTCAAAGAAAATTGGTAAGAACATATTTGATGCATGATTACCTTGCATGATGAGCCTTCACCTGGGTCCGGCAGTTACGACCCCAGTAACAATCAGGTCGAGAAGTGACAGAGGCTGAAGACAGAACATGAAACATTATGAAGCCACACACACACACACACACACACACACAGCTTTCTCTAACCTGGCAGATCCGACTGGGGGATGTTCTGCCTGTACTTATAGGCCAACTCTCTGAAGCTACGAACTCCGCAGTCGAAGCACATGATAGCGTTTGCAGAAATGCCTCTATCTGAAGACAAGAGACAAACAGGATGTAAGCACTGGCCGCACGTCCTGGTCACTGAAGAAGGCCGTCGTCACCTGTCAGAGTGTAGCTACCCTGCTCCAGCCCCACAAGAGACTCCTGCAGCACGTCTCTCCAGTTCTTCCCTCTCATCGACAGGTAATTCTTGCACAGGTAAAAAACAGGTTTAGAATGTATTAAACTAAGTTTATCTACAATTGTCTGCTTTAGTAAATATTTCCTATTTAGTAAATGTGCAGTGATAAATTAGCATGGCCTCGCTATAACCAATCCAGGCACAATAAAACAAAGGAATAAAAACAAAAAATTAGAAATATTCAAATATAACATATACAAACATATACATACATAAACATGTATACACTTGTAATAATGATGAAATAATAATCATTTTAACAAAAGCACGAGTTTATGTAAATGCTGAGGAGAATAGCCATGTTTTAATGCATGATTTAAAAGCTCCTATAGTTGGGATAGTTCGCATTTGATGTGGAAGAGTGTTTCACTGACGTATAAAAACTGCATAAAAACTGCTGCCTCGCTCTTCTGGTCCTAACATTTGGGACACACAGTAAACCTGTCCCGGATGACCTGATGACCCTCTTGTTTTCATATGGAATAAGGCATATCTTGGACAGAGCGGATTCACTGCCTTTTAGTACAATATAACTGCTGTGTCCATATTAGATAAACAAATTATTGAAATTCAAAAATACCATAAGAACTTCGGATTCATAATTATTGTTGTTGAGCACGCCATCCAAAGATTTATCTGTCAGATTCAGATCTGCAACAGAGGCAAGAAGAATTGAAATTCATTTGGAGAGTAGGTTCGATAACTCTACGGGAAAGAAGCAATTTTGGAAAGTAATGTTTATCAAATAACGGGAAAACAGGATATTTTATTTTGTCAGAGATTAGATTAACAAAGCTGCCATATTATTCTTATGTCTGAAAGTCATTTGTATTGGCCAGCATCATGCAAGTTCCTCAAATGTAAGTAAATCTGTACATACCAGTGAATCGGGCCAGGCAGCCGTGGCAGCCAACCCTCGGACACCCCCAGTACATGTGACAGTAGAAACGCATACAAATGGTACCTGCAGAGTAAACACAATTGAAGATTACAGCAGCATTCATATCAAATAGTCATTGTGTTTAATATTGGTAATAGCCCACATTGCTGAGGAGGATGCTTCTGTGCGTTTTGTGCATTTTGCTCAGTGAATCGATCCGGCATGGGCTGAAGGCAGCAGGTACAGATGATGTGTGAGGCATAAGGGGAGCAAAGGTACTGCTGAGAGGCTGCAGGAGCTGAAGACAGAGCACAGTACAGTCTATGTTAAGGACACATATTCAGCTTCATTTTTCATTATTTAAATTTATTTTGTAATTTCATGTTTTAGAAAGTAAATCAAACAAGTGTGAAGGGTAAAACATTTCTGCCTGTAACTCCCTTTGCCACCACCAGAGGGAGGAGTTGAAATTGTTTAGTTTTTGAAAATTTGAAAATTACTTGCTACAACCACAACCATGTGATTAAAAAAATCACTTGAAAAAATCTTTGTTAAAACATGGTTGACATCATCCTATTACAAGACTGAAACAGAAGCTTTTAGACAGAACCAGGGATTACATCTTTGTGCCAGAAGTTCATGATAAAAGCGAGGATGGATCTATAAACAAGGTATGATGAGGGAACAATGTTGCAACATGGTTAAAAACTTAAAAAGGATTTTGTAAAATAAGTTTCTTTCAAGCAACAATACATTGTTGTTTATACTTAGTAGCTTGATAATTTTACCTGACAATACATCAGCAGAGGTTGAGGGCTGCTCGCTGCCGCTCCTCGTCAGCTCCTCTGTGGTGGACTTGGGTTGAGTGGGTAGGGGCAATGGAATGAGTGGAACAGACAGACCTGGGAGCCAGTAACTGGAGCCTGTGGTCAGAAGCACCTGACTGACCTCACTTCTGTATCCAGGACACTGTCTGCACATCACTAGGGGCTGCCTGTGGAGACAGCATCACAAGTTACAGAACAGTAGGAATGAGGAGCACATGGCACAAGATAACTCTACACTAAAATAAAATAAAAATAAATCTGTAACTCTTGCATACAAAGAAGCAGTATAACAGCTCTTTCTTTAGCATAATAGGGAAAGAAGTCTTAAAAGCAAGAATCAAGTACAAAAACCCCTGAGTCTAGCAGTATAAGGAGCAAGTATAAAATGCTGTAAAATGAATTGCATTTTGACCCAACTTGAATTTTGTTTCAACCTTACCCATTATCTGACGAATCGCTGTCATTGTCGGACAAGTCATAAAGGTAATCCGAGCTGGCCTCCTCATCAGAGAAGGAGCGTTCCACTTTGGGCTGACACATGTCATGGGTTATCTTATTTCGACTGTCCATGATCTTCGTGTCCTCTTCACTGCGAGCCTTTTCTGTGGGCAAACAAATTAAATCAACTTTAAAAAGAGAAATGTATCCCCACACATGACTACGACATGACATGAACGAACCCGGGTGCTGAGTGAGGTAGGCCTCCACCAGGTTGTTGAGGATGTGGTTTTTGCGGATTCTCTCCACGGGACAGCGACAAGTGGGACAGAGAGAAGAACGCTCCATCCAACCAGAGTAGCAGGCCGCGCAAAAAGTGTGCATGCAAGGCTGCAAGCTGAAATATGTTCAAAGTTCACAAGTACTTACTTTATCTGAATGTTCTTAATGCATTAGTAAAAGGATGGATTCTTGTTCTACAATTCTATTTCAGCCGGAGGGCCGGTTTAGACCTTGGTGAGACAGATTAGTTTAACCCCAACAACAACAACAACAACTTATTCTTGTATAGCCCTAAATCACGACAGAAGTCATCTCAGAGGACTTAACAAAATCATTGAAATCCCCAACACAGATCAGAGAATCAACAGTTAAAACACAAAATATACACATATGAATTGGTCCATAGGGAGAGACCAATGTCCATCATGTTGATAAATGTCCATACATGTTGTAGAATGTTAAAGTGTCCTGGATCATCACCACAGTCCTTCTAGTTGGACCCTAACTGCCCAACAGATCCTCATGAGAAGAAAAACTCACAAAAACCCAGTGGGAAAAAGAGTGAGAAACCTCAGGGAGACCCACATTTGAGAAAGGGATCCGCTCCGACACGGACGGACGGGCCCACTTATGATGTGTGTTGTAATAGGCAGTATAAATCTCGACTTCAGGCTAAACCCCTTTCGGTCGGGCATTATTTAGCACTAAAATTATTTAGGCAAAAAAAAAATGTTTTTCTTATTGTAAAATGTATAAAACCTTTAAAAACAAAACAAGTGACCTGAGATCTAATGAACATAAGGGCCGGCTACTGCTACAGTTGTTGTTGCAATATTAGCATTTTTTTAATAAATAAAAAGTCCATGTTTTCCCCGATCATGACTCTGGCATGACATGGCTCATTGGAATGTCGTGATGTCCCATGAACATGACATCACTTGTGCATGTCGTTTCACTAAGCAGACAAAGCTTAAGAGAAAAGTGTTGCATTTTGTAAATACAGTAACATTTTCTATACAAACTCACCTAACACAGTCGTACAAGAGGTCTTGGCAAATGATGCAAGTCAGTGATTCCTCCATTTTGTCAGTCTTCTTTGCTTCAGTTTGTAGTTTACATTTAACATTGGCATGGCTTCTAATACTTGGTCCTGATTCTTCAATACTGGGCGGTGAATCTGCATAAAGTCGATTTATTTGTAAATACAGATGCTACGTGAATATAGGCATCGACAATGATCAGTTACCACAGTGAGTTTTTCTCCTTTTGATTTCGGGCTCCAAGAGGTCTTTGTGATCATCCTGTGTTGAATCAGGATCCTTTTGCTCTGGAACAATCAAGACAAGCATTTACAGTTCGTGCTATGGAGCATACTGTGTATAAACTGCACCAATGTTAAATGTGAAGAGAAAGTACATTTAGTCAATATAAAGGTTGTACTTGAATATAAGCCAAAGGTTTTTTGTGTAGTAAATGAAATACTAACACAACAGCTGATGGAGCATACGTTTTTTACATGAATCCAATCAATTTTTACAATAACATTCCTACTAAATGTTCTGACAAAAGCCTTAACGTAAAAACAATGACAAAAATCTGTACTTTTTTAATCCAGAACGCTAGCCCAGACTACAGAGATGTGCAGCCTTATTTGAAACTTTCATGAAAAAAACCTTAATCACATTCTCCCCTCAGCATTCACACACATCTAAAACGTAGCGTTGGGCCAAGAGCCGACTTTCAGACCATCCTGTAAAACCGTTTGAGAAGATAGAAGGCGGTATACAAAAGCATTGGGTTATTCTCTTTCCGGGTACACCCCCACCGGCACAGATTGAGATTGCAAGCATGTCAGCGCACATGCTCATGGACCTTTTTTATTATTAAAGTTATTTATAAAGTATTTTAGAATGTGAGATAATATTTTCTTATCATTATTATGGCCAACAATAATTCTTCTTTTTGTTCTTTAAAAACATGTATTTCAATTCCTGAACCCAGCTCGCCTCTTACCAGTGGAAGTCAGACATGGTGAAGCCTGGACAGACATGGCTGGGTTCTTGATGCAGTAGTTAGAAGTGGAGGTAGAAGGCAGCGGTTCGTCTTGGGTCAAACCTTGTGGTGGTTTGGTTAGTAATACAGGAGACACAGAGAGGTTCATGTCAGATGATGTGACAAGTTCTGTTAGGTCTGCAAAATAAAAAATAAAGTCAATAATGTTCTTTGTGATTTATAAGAAACAAAATGCTTGTGTTGTAAATGTACCAGATGCAAAGTGGGACGCTTCTTGTTCTGAATGAAGGAGGTGAAATACATAAGCCACATCTACAAAAGCAAACAAAGAGAAAGGCGCTTGGTTTAGAACGTTTAAATATAAAAACAAGTCCTTAACTATAGCTTATAATGTGATACATACTTTCTTGAGGCTCACTTTTTCTGTACACAAAGTGGATGATATCTCCGTGTTGCAGTACATGGTTCTGTTTTCTAACCAGCTTTGACATGTTGATCACAGTACCATTAGTGCTGCAAGAAACATTTTCATTATCACTATCTTCACTTGTGTTGAGTTCATGACAGATGATATACAGACATACTTGATATAAAAATACATAATATAAATATTTGGTTTAGGCATTTAGTGAATAAGTACAAGAAATATGATCTTGGAAATGTAATGAATCTAAATAATAGTTTAACTTATTCCACTAGTTTCCAACTTATTACAATAGTTTGAGTATGTTTGAAGAGCAGCACATTACATTAGACATACCTTGTGTCTTCAAGCCAGACTAATCCAGAGCTTTCATCAAAAGCTATTTTACAGTGCTCTCCTGACACCATCTTGTTTAATGGAAAGGACAGATCGCAACCTGTGAAATCAGAGGTTACTTCATCAGTAGAAATCATGTTCGTTGGATATTATAATGAATGTGTAAAATGTACAAAGCCTTCTCCTGCTAGAACGAGCCCGCACTCTTTGGACCCATACCCTGACCCATTCATGAAGCAAGTCACTTTGCATATAAGGTAGACTGCAAAGCACTGAACAAAGCTGACTGGTAGGGGAATATAGGCCGAGACTTTTCTTAGGCATAGCCTTAGAAAAAAAACTACTTAATATTCTGCACACATGTTCTCAATGGAAGCCTTTTGTTATCATCACAAGGGCTGTCTAAGATTGGTGCAAAGAAAGCTTTGTGTTTTAAAGGGGGAGGTTGGTCCAGACTCCAGACTGACTCATGTCTACACAGCACACACTTATTGTTTTGTTCAACACACAGATAGTTCACTAGAGAAAGTTTACATACATGTAGCCATGTACAGGGCATGAGTAAGAAGTCATATTTTAAAACTTATACCTATCTTTCGGCCCACGGTGTTCTCCCTGTTGAACAGCAGCACTTCATCAGTACTGTCCACTTTGATCAGCTTCCCCCAGGCTGACGGCCGAGCCGCTCCCAGGGGCCGAGCTCCAGTCCCATCGAACTCTCTGTCACCTCTGTCCATCTCCAGTCCTCTCCAGTCTGAGACAGTCTGAGACAGTCTGAGACAGTCCAGTTCTGAGGAGGAAAATCAAAAGTGAAACGTGTAACTTGTGATAATCATCAGTCAACACTTAGAACAAACTGAAACAAATACAATACAAAGCCATATAATAAACATTACAAACACGGATAGAGAGGTGAAAACTTAAAGTAAACTGAAGTCCAACTTTGTTAAGGCAGACGGAGGAATGCTAACCAGAGTTAGCCGCTAACTATATCCTGCTCCCGAAATACGATTACAACTCGTTTTAATCACCGATCACACATTTGCATTCTTCAAACCAAACACACTTGCCTTGTCTCTGCTGTTTGTCTCCAAGAAGAGTGATAGTGAAGAGTTGTTTAACAGGTCCTCATGTTTCCTCCTCCAGCCTCACTTCCTGCTCTGCTCTGTCAGTATTTACCGTCACAGCTGATGGAGGAGGGGCCTGTGCCGCCTGTGCCGCATCACATCACTGCGTCTCAAGACAACGGGACGACCACAACACTCAGTAATGCCTGTGAGTAATACCTGTGAGTAATACCCAATATATACAGTCTATGGTAATACCACACACATGTATTTACCAATGCATCACGGCCCCATTAGGCTTTACAATTTGTACAATCCTTCACGATTGTCCCTAAGAAAAGTCTATCACATTTCCTTGCGACACATAAAACTGTGACACTACAAACAAATGAAAGATTAATTTATAATTTAATGTAAAATATTAGGCCTATTACTATTATTGTATGTATTTGTTTTATGTAAATGACTTAATTAATTAATATTTTGCCATTATTTATTACTATTTATTATTGTATGATCAACAGTTTATTTTGTTGTGAATGGCAACTGTTTGGCCACAGGTGCGTTGCCTAGCAACGGGAGAAGAAAGTGGCAGTTGGACCTACATGTTGTGTGCTACAGCTCTTGGTTCTTGATAGTTTTCTGTCAAGTTTTTTATGGTTTGTTTCAGCCCTTTGCACCTGGTTGATGAGGAAACAAGGTTCGTTTAATGTTGTTTGTATTATTTTCTCTTTCCTGTAATAATATGTCACGTTTTTTGTTTACTGTTGCTTGTATGCTACTTTTGGCCACTAGAGGGCGTTAAAACGGCCGTTAACGGCTCTGTTGTAACAAAGGGTAATTTGAAGCAGTTTGATTACAATATTTATGATAATTATTAAGCAATGAAGGGTGTACATGTTGAGGTAATAAATAAGGGAATAAGTTAAGGGATATGGTAATGAATTTAGGGTTTTGAATAGAGTTTGTATGTGTCTCACTGTAAGTTTTCTAATTGTTTAATGTGTGAATTCTTTGTAGCTCTTAAGGTGTTGTTCACATGCCAAAGAAACAATAAAGTTGTGAACCATCAGTTTCGAGTGACCAGCCAAATCAACCAGGGACGCTACATTTTATATTGTTCCCCAACACTGAAGGCACAAATATATCACTGAGAACTGGGGAGAATTTAGTTTTATTTAATCTGACCTTCATCCATCTGGAATGAAGTACGCCACCTCTGTCACATCATGGTCCTCCTTTCAGGACATGTAGAGAATTTGAGAGGCTATTCAGGCAATTCAATAAAAAAATTTTTTGTATCGCTCTAAACAGTATTTGTCTCAACTTCTGTTACTTTACTGCACTCTACCGCACTCTTAACGGTCTATTGTGTGCACCTAGTGCACTCGCGTATAGTAAACTGAAGAAATGTATGTATATTTTTAATTATGCATGCTTGATTTTATTCTGCTCTAACTTGTTTGCACCAAGAGCCAAAACAATTTCCTAGTTTATGACTCCCTGTTACTCAAACGGCAATAAAAAGATTCTGATTCTGATTCTCTGTGGACTTTATGAAGTTGTTGATTCGCCAACAACAGATCAAAGAATCAAACAGTTCGAACAAAGCAATTGCAATAATAACAAACACATAGGATCCATGTGTTTGACTAATGTCCAGAAATATTCCTAAATCTCTCGGCTCATCACTTTCTTATCCAGTATAGTCCACGTGCGTCTGTCCAAGTCACAAAGTAATAGAATATAAACTCACACCAGATAAATGTATTTCATGAATTTCTCTTTCATGAACAGTCAACAAGTCTGCGGGCAAATCATCATTATTGTCATTGTTATTGTTAGTCCTGATCCATGGTTTTCATGTTTACTATTGCATCATTATGTATTCTATTGTGTTCTATGTATCTGCTCTTTTATCATAATGGCCAGGAGACTATCCTCTTCGCTAATCACTGGCTTTTTTAGGCAAGGCAAGTTTATTTGTATAGCACAATTCATACATAAGCCATACTAACCATGGAAACAATCACACAAGGCATTAAAAAGACATGAAAAAATAGTAAACAATCTCTGTAGAGTGAAGACCAAATCCCTCAGTTATCTGAACAGCTAAACAGGACAGATTTTTGATTTTAGCCATAAATCTGAAAGCCTCCCCTTGTTTAGCTCTGACACTGGGCACCAGCAGGAGGCCAGTCCCTGTGCTCCTCAGAGTCCAAGTTGATACTTTGGTGCGAGGCCAGTGCAGGGACCTGAGGACTGGACTAATGTAAGCATACTTCCTGAGCTTTTTGATCCTGGCAATTTTTTTTAGGTTGTAAAAAGCTGCTGATGTTACTGATTTGATGTGGCTATTAAAATTTAGGTCGGAGACCAGTATTACCCCTAGATTTCTGACCTTGTTTGATGGTTTTTGGGAGAGAGACTGGAGGTGACAGGATCGACCCCTGTGGAACTCCACAGGTCAGGGCCAAATGATCTGAGAAACAGTTTCCATGAAGTACTTGATGTCTTCAACGTAAGACCTAAACCAACTTAGTGTGGTGCCATTGACACCAACCCAGTCCTCTAGTCTCTGTAAGAGGATCTCATGGTCGACAGTGTCAAAGGCAGCACTCAGATCTTACAGGATTAGGATTGAGACTTTGCCTGGATCATTGTTCAGTCGTATATCATTTGTTACCTTGACAAGAGCAGTCTCAGTGCTGTGGTGGGGTCTAAAGCCAGACTAGAACATATCAAATGAGTTGCTGATCATTAGAAATTTGGTACGCTGTTGGTAAACAAAAAGCATCGCTGGCTGTTACGTATGGATTGGAGACAATGGTGTTTTTGATGCTTTGAACCTTGGCATTGGAAAGAAATGTGCAAACTCATTACGGTAGTAGTAGTAGTAGTAGTTTATTTCAGTCAGTCAAATTGAAAGGGTTTTGGCTGAAGTGAAAGGGTTTTGGCTACGTTTGGAAGTTAACTAATGGCAGATGAACAGGGGGGTGTGTTAATCTTTTAACTGTTGAAAACAGAACACACAGAGCATTACTGCAGTCCTCAATCATTTCAGAAAAATAAATTTCTCTCATACTACGAAGCACCCGATTAAACTCGCATAACTTAGATTTGAATAATGTTTAATCATGTGTTTTATTAATTTTGCACCGTTCTCTTTCAAATAAACTTAACTAAAGCCGCAGAATTTTGACAGAGCTGCAACTGCTGGATTGATTTAAGAGGAAGATCTGTGAACAACAATTTAATCAGCATCTTTACTTGAAATATTTTTTCCAGTGAAAAAGGACAGTTTTGTTACACATGCTTAAGATTGAGATATGATAACACTACGGTCTCTTTAGTTGCTTCAAATAGTATTTTCATCCAGTTCTTGATATTTTGGTGGAACTAAACTAATTAACAGAAAGAGAAAAAAAGAAAAAAAAGGTTTGGCATGAAGATTTTTTTAACACACTTGATTCAATCACTCATAAATACATACAACATTCTACAATACATCCAAAAAGGGTCTAAGGACATTTATTTCTTAACATATACGGACATTGGTCATCCCCTACCCATGTGCTAAACATGTGCACTTTACTACTTTCATTAGTAACTTTTAAAATGATGTATTCATGTATCTACCCACCCACCCTACGGTGTCATCTGTCACCTCCAGTCTCTCTCCCTAAAACCTTCAAACCAGGTCAGATATCTAGGGGTAGTACTGGACTCAGACTTACATTTTAATAGCTACATTAAATCAGTAACATCAGCAGCTTTTTACCATCTAAAAAACATTGCCAGGATCAAAAACATAGTGTCTAAAGCAGACTTGGAGATTCTTATCCATGCATTTGTCTCCAGTAGGTTAGACTACTGCAATGGCCTGCTCACAGGTCTGTCCAAACAGGCTGTAAAACAGCTGCAGTACATTCAAAATGCAGCAGCTCGAGTCCTGACAAGAACCAGGAAGTACGACTACATTAGTCCAGTCCTCAGGTCTCTGCACTGGCTTCCTGTGGCTCAGAATAGACTTTAAAACAGCTCTGCTTGTTACAAGTCTCTCCATGGCCTCGCACCAAAATATATTAGTGACATGTTAGTCCCATATGAACCAGCCCGGACTCTGAGGAGCACAGGGACTGGACTCCTGTTAGTGCCCAGAGTCAGAACTAAACATGGGGAGGCTGCTTTTCAGATTCATGCTGCTAAAATCTGGAACAATCTTCCTGAAGATGTGAGACAGGCCTCTTCTCTGACAATGTTTAAAAGCAGTTTAAAAACAGTTCTGTTTAGCTGTGCATACAACTGAGGGATTTTATATTTTTATCTTTCTTTTTAATGTACTGTGATTATTTATGATTTTAATGCTTTCTTATTTTGTTCAGCACTTTGAGTTCCCTTGTGTATGAATTGTGCTATACAATTAAACTTGCCTTGCCTTGCCTTGGCTACGGACCAATGGCTCCTATGTGTTTGTTTTTTTTATTGCATTTCCTGAAATCTAGTTGTTTGAGTCTTTTGTAAAGTCCTCTATGACGTCTGCGTTCTGAATTACAAAAGTAAACTGAATTGAATTATATTGAACGAATCATCAAATCAAATCCAATAGTAAATTAATAATTGGAGAAGTTGATTGATGACACCGCGCTAGGGATGTTACCAATCATGTGATAAAGTAAAATTATAAATCTAAAAAGTTGTGAATATGTCAACTGTGTTTTGTCTTACCTGTCAATATGCTCATCAAGATAACAACTTACAATGTAAATTAATGTATTTTTGGGTCTGAAAAACAATGGAGATCCAAATTGACTTGTTGTTAAACTATATGTTAAAAGCGGAGCTATGAATATCCCCTATTAGAGAAAACGAGTTAATGCAGGACTAATCTGAGCGTATTTCCCAGCAGTGCATTATTAATGGACAGTGTGCGGGCTGCTGAGTTCAGGGGCCTCTCCTCGCTAATGCGTCCATTCCTCATTCGTGTATGTCTGCAGAGAAAAGATACACACACACACACACACACACACATATATACACACACACACACACGCACACACAGCATCTCACAGCTACACAGAGAGATGTGCCATACATGCAGAATATACTCTTAAGGGAAATTATTGAGTTTTTCGTTGAGATTCAGTAGTGTGTGCACAATCCTCTGCAGATGCTTTGATAAGGTCACAACAGCAAATTGAATGTGGCTTATTGAATCCCACACCGGCTCTGTCAATCAGCATGTCCTAATTGGATCAAAGATTACTTGTGGCAGCTGTATAAAACATCAAACGAGTAATTAAATGAAATAATGAGAAAATAAACCTTAATGTTGCCAAGTGGGAATGAAGGCAAGCGGAGAAACGTGATTCCGCTGCGCTCTGTGAAATTATCTCTCTCCGGCTTGGGCTAATTGCTGGAGGATGTCCTCTTAACTGAGTGTGAAAAGCTGTGTCTAATTACTGCAACATTAATCAGGCATTAGCATGTTATCACAAGGTTAACTTATCAGGAGGGGCCCAGAAGCAGCTGGAGGTGCCACTTACCAGAGCTGCACTGCACACAAGAGGCCACAAGGGGTCGTGCTTGTTCTTCCTGTCACCCATCACTGCAGAGCTCTCCTCCTTGGATGCAAAAGCCACAATGAGAAGGCCACCATGTTGAATTTGCTTTGTGTGCATTAGCCTGTGCAGATTGATGATGTCCGAAGCCAATAAGCACCTATTTCTTGCTGTCCTTAACAAATCAGTGCATTTCTCGTCCAGACATTTTAAACAATTGGCCTCCTAATTTGGAAATGTCTTACTCTGTGCAGACATACCAGTAAAGGGCATTTTCTCATCAATGCAGACTTAGAAGAATTACATGGACTGAATGTGTGAAATCAATGCTAAACAATTGTATGCTTAGGGAAGCGGCTGATTGTTCATGGTGTAATGAAGATTGACTGGATTGTGATTGCAAATTACCCACTGCTGCCATACATTTACAGACAAAAGACTACATCTTAAATGTCAAATATGAGCTGTACAATTATTGGATATTGCCCTAAGCTCGTGTTATTACACACTTAAATATTCGGCAAGAATGAATGACCCGTCATGTTGAATGGAAAGACGTTTGCAGCCTGTTCCTTATTTTTCTCTACATATTACTACTATTTTTTTTATTTGGTGCTGATACAGTATGTTTCAGTGC